TTTCAACTGATCACCTTGATTAGCATATAATGGCCTGACAGTGCCTGGAGTAAACTTTTGTTGAGAGGTGATTAGATGTCCTTTGACAGCATAGTGCAGTGGTTTGAGCACTGGACTAGAACTGTGGAAATGAGGGTTCAAATCCCTGCTCATCCTCGGAAATCCACTGCGTGACCTTAAGCAACTTACACTCTCTCAGCCTCAGAGGATGACAAAGGCAATCTCTTTCTGAACAAACCTTGCCAAGAAAAAACTGTGATAGGGTAATAGAAATAAATAATAATAAATAATAACTTTATTTGTACCTTGTCTCCATCTCCCTGAAGGGACTCGAGGCGGCTAACATGGGGTCAAGCCCAAGCAATTACAATAAGAATCATAGAGTTGGAAGAGACCTCATGGGCCATCCAGTCCAACCCCCTGCCAAGAAGCAGGAAAATTGCACTCAGAGCACCCCCGACAGAAGGTCATCCAGCCTCTGTTTAAAAACCTCCAAAGAAGGTGCCTCCACCACACTCTGGGGCAGAGAGTTCCACTGCTGAACAGTTCTCAGTTAGGAAGTTCTTCCTCGTGTTCAGGTGGAATCAGGTGGGTCACCGTAAGTTAGGACTCACTTGAAAGCCCATAATGATTGTGCCTTGATCAGGTACCCAATCTTGTAATCCAGTCTCTTCCACTTTGACCAAAATGTCAGTCTCTTTAGTTTCAGTGGAACTTTCCCCAGCATATAAGACTGCTGTCTCATATGCCTATTACACAAAAGTTATGAGAAATTATACTTTTAGGAAGGATGTGGATGTTCTCTCCTGAAGATGAAGCTAGTGCAAAACCTGAAGTGCTCCACAGTGCTCCAGCTTTGGAAAGATAAAAAGAAAGAAAGAAAAATCCTTACCTGAGCTGAGGAGGTGGCCAAAAGCTGACAAAGAAATAGGAATCCAAGAGCTGAAAAACTGGCCATAGTTATCACAAGCTAATGCTTTTAAGAAAACTTTCCTCTTTCCTTCTCCTGGTCCAGAGGTCCTGTTCTTTGCTTCTCAAATATCGGTGCCGACACAGGTCTCCTTGACTTCCAGAGAAACCTGGGTCTCCTGGTGAGAGAGGGAGACACACAGCCAGCACACACACAGAGGGCAAAACTCCGATGGAAAAAGGATGCAGGCTCCTGAGAAAGTGGAGGAGGAGGGCTGGACAAACAGTGGAGCGAGAGTCAGGAAAAGAGGCGTACAGTCACTGCTCGCTCAAGATTTTTTTAGCCTGCTGTGTGTTCCAGCCAGAGAGCACCGGGACCAAGGGCAGAGAATAAGGGTTTGTTTAGCTCAACAGGATCATTGACCGTTCACTAAGAATGGTTTTCCCTGGAAAAAAGTCCAGATTTTTCTTCAATATGGCTCATAGATAAGTGCAACATCGATACTGAGTGATACATAGAAAAACTGATGCAATTGCAAGGCATAAATGGAATGGATGCCAGCTGTAGCCATAACAGATCAATGAACACACCGAGAGGTGTCTATGCTCCAAAGTGGTAACAGCTTGAGACCACTTTAATTGTCATGGCAGAATTCGACGGAAGCCAGGGATTTGTAGCTTGAGATATAAGGCCCTTCTACACAGTCCTATATCCCAGAATATCAAGGCAGAAAATCCCACAATATGTATTTTGAACTGGGTTATCTGAGTTCACACTCAGATAATGTGGGATTTCCTGCCTTGATATTTTGGGATATAAGACTGTGTCCATAGAGAATGGATTACTAGCTGGCCCTCTGTTTCTACAGGTTCTTGGTCCACGGAGTCAACCAATCATGGTTTAAACATATTTTGGGGGTAAATCCAAAAAGCAACCCTTTATTTTGCCATGAGCTATTTAGATGTGTAGTCTTAGGCCCTTTCACAGCTCCTCATGTATTCTCTGGCACTGTTTTGAGATGTTCTCCATGGGACACCCACAAAGGTATACATTGGGACTTGAGAATCCAGATCTTGAAATCTACAGGGAGGATCTTAGAACCAAATCTTAGTGGATAGTAAGGGCCATGTACTTCAGGAGAGTCCATTAAAGCTTTCGAGATCAAGTCTCCTCACATGCTCTAAACACCAGGTCCCATAGGAATTTAGTCGTAACAGTTAAAAAGTACAGTAGAGTCTCGCTTATCCAACCTTCGCTCATCCAATGTTCTGTATTATCTAACACAGTCTGCCTTCCACATGGATCCATACCAGTTTCAATACATTGCGATGTTTGGGTGCTAAATTCGTAAATACAGTAATTACTACCTAACATCACCATGTACTGAACTGCTTTTTTGTTGATTGGTTGTAAAACATGATGTTTGGGTGCCTAATTTATAAAATCATAACGTAATTTGATGTTTAATAGGTTTTTTTAATCCCATAATAATATTAATATTAATAATAATGCTTTATTTATACCCCGCCACCATCTCCCCAAAAGGGGACTTGGAGCAGCTTACAACAAAATAAAATGCCGAACAACAAAAATAACATCACAATAAAATAAGTAATACATTCAAGTAAAATAAACAGTGCAAAATAACATAGAAGAAAATTATTATCCAACATTTTCGCTTATCCAATGTTCTGCTGGCCCATTTATGTTGGATAAGCGAGACTCTATTGTAGTATCACTCTCCTATAACTTTTTAGAGAAAATTAAGGTTTCTCAACCAGGTTTTCCTGGAATCTAATTGGTTCTGTGGGAAATATGATGTGATTGACTTTTTTTTAAGGTGTGGATATTTATGCGTGTGTTTCTTAAGTTTTGAAAATTGTTTGAAGGGTTCCCCACTGGGACAAAAGTTTGGATTACACTCAGTGCTTATTTGAACGAATGTATACCCACAAATAGCCAAGATTTCTTGGGTGAAGACAACATATGGTGCCCCACCCCAAATGAGAAAGATCAAGAACCTTTTTCTAGAAGTATGGCCCTGAGACTCTCAGGGATATATGCAGAGACTTTTGATGAACATACACACACCACTCTTTCTGTTAAGTTTGGAGCATTGCTCATTATACAAAACCTGGTACTCACACCTTGCACTTTTTTATTGTGTTATTCTTTTCCCATGTGACTGTTGCTGATGGGCCACAAGCTGGATTCTGACTGCTTGCACACCAACTCAAAAGTAGGTTGAAATTCTGTTGAATGTGCAAATATGGTTATATCCCCGTATCTGCAGGGGATGAATTCATGAACTTTGAATGGATATGCAAAACTGAATAACAGCAAACTCTAGGTTGTTGTTGAGTTTTCTGGACTGTACGGCCAGGTTCCAAAAGCGTTCTCTCCCAATGTTTCACCCACATCTATGGCAGGCATCCTCAGAGGTTGTGAGGTCTGTTGGAAACTAGGCAAGTGAGGTTTATATATCTCTGGAACGTCCACGGTGGGAGAAAGAACTCTTGTCTGTTGGAGGCAAGTGTTGAATGTTGCAATTGGCCAGCTTAATTAGCATTGAATAGCCTTACAGCTTCAAAGCCTGACTGCTTCCTGCCTGGGGGAAGCCTTTGTAGGGAGGTGCTAGCTGGCCCTCTTGTCTGGAATTCCCCAGTCTTCTGAGTGTTGTTCTTTATTTACTGTCCTGATTTTCAAGTTGAAACAAAGGACTCTTAATACAGTATGATCCACGTTTTTGCAGAGGATTCATTACTGGACTGTGGAAATGTGACTTCTATTGAAAAAAGGGACCTCCAGACCTTAATAATGCCTAGAGGTAAATGGCTTCAGCTTCCCAACATACAGCGATGACAATACAGATCTGACTTGTGGATGTGTTATGATTAATATTGGAGCCCCTGGTGGTGCAGTGGTTTAAACCACTGAGCAGCTGAACTTGCTGACTGAAAGGTTGGCGATCTGAATCGGGGGAGCTCCTGTTGTTAGCCCCAGCTTCCCCCAACTTAGCAGTTTGAAAACATTGCAAATTTGAGTAGATTAATAGGTACCACTTCTGTGGGAAGGTAATGGAACTCCCTGCAATCATGCTGTCCACATCACCTTGGAGGTGTCTATGGACAACGCCAGCTCTTTGGCTTAGAAATGGTTTGAACAGCACCCCACCCTGAGTCAGACTCGACTAGACTTGATTACAGGGAAACCTTTACCTATGATTAATATAGTAAAACCTTGTAAATGATACCTTTTAAGTACTTGAAATTTCGATCTAGGAGTATAGTAGCATTATAAGTTATCGTGTTGTATGTATGGAAGATAACAGATGAAGGAAAACCAAGAATTCATTGGGGACTGTTGTTCCAAATTAAAAGGGAGAGGGAATGAATGGCTAGTTTCTTCTTAGATTTAATAATTCTTATCCAGTGTCTCAAAATATTCTCCTGCCACGAAAGCTTTGCAAGAGGATCAAGCCACTTCCCTCCTCTTGACTCTGACCAATTGAAAGATGAAGAGGACTACCAAAACTTTGCATCCAAAAGTTAATACTTTTATTTAACACAAACCAAGTTGATTTAACAAATCCTGGAAAAAGTGCCCACAAAGTGGCCAAAATTGTATTTTTTTGCGCCTCGCCCTTAATGTTCATTTTTCTATTTAAAATCAGTACTCTTTCGAGATATTTAAAAACTAGAAACAGAAAGAGAACATTTTGAAAGAGCGGAACATATCAAGTTTCACTGCTTTCTTTACCCCAAATTCATGACCTATGAGAACTTGGGTTTACAACGGAGACGTGCCCATGTGCTGCATAGAGGCAGCCAGAACCCCAAATGTGCTTCCCCACCAAGTGCCCCCTCCCTGCACAACATTTTTATTTTATTTTAAAACAGTATTTCTTTTGCACTCCCACAAACTCCTGGGAGGGTGTGACTGACCACTTGGAAGTCTATTTCACTCGCCCTGGTTTCGTAACACCTTTAAGAACACTTCTAGTTTTGCAAACTGGGCAGGTACGCTCTGCTCAAATCTGACGAAGACCACAATGCCTTCTGAGGTCGATTCCTCCTGCTTTATAAACACTTATATATATATTTTAAACATGGGAAGAACAAACCACACAAGCTGCAGACTGAGGCTGCCTGTGAGCACCTTTAGCACCAGCGGAACTACATCACCCTGATTTCGGGCAGCTATTATTTTCCTTCAGGCTTTGCTATAGTATTTTCTGTTTCTTCAGGCTTTTCTATAATGTTTTCTGTTTCTTTAGGCTTTGCTATAGTGTTTTCCAGGTCTGCCGTTACATTCTTATGTGCATCGTCCTCTTTTTTTTCTTCCGCGCTCTCCTCTTTTGGACCTATCTTGGCATCAACTTCTCTTTCAACGGCTGGCTGGCTATCACAGGTCACAGATTCCTCCTTTTCAGGTGAAGAGGTAGTTTCAGGTTTAGGAGGTTTGTCCATAGTATGGCTAATGGGTGGAAGATCATTAACCGTACTTGTTTGGGAATCAACCAGCGAGTCCTCGCCTGTGCTTTTGCCGTCGGCCATATTGGTCGCAGGAGGAGCAGCATCTACTTTGGTTTCATCTTGGCAAACCTTGTTGGTCTTCTCAACATCGGAAGTGGAGCAACTTGTTTCCTGATCTTTAGAAGGTATCAACTTGGCGTCTTCTTTCTCAGACATCCTTGCAGCATCCTCTCCCAGTGCCAACTCCTCCATTTTTCGCCTTTTAATCACCGTACTGACTGTTTCAGTCTCCTTTATGTTTGCGCCGCTTCCATCTTCTCCTTCAGACACCAATGCGCTTGAGGTCTCTTCGGTAACTGTACCACCACCCAGGCTTTTTTGATCGATCACACACTCTTTGAGATTGCAGGAGATCTTCTCAATATCAGTGGGACTGTTCAGTACTCCATTGCACTCCCCACTTAATTTGCTCATTTCCAACTTCCTCTTCTTGGATTCCTTGAGGTTTTCAGTCTCTGCTCCACTCTCCTCCGCAAGAGCTTTCCTTTCCAATTGGACCTCTTTATCGTCTTCATCGTTGACTTTCTCCACCTTGGAGCTGGTCACTGATTCCAGGGTCTTAGCCTTGAATTTCCGGAGTTTCTTGTGTGGACCCCAGCTGAACTCCCGCTTGGGTTTGTAGTTCTGCCACGCGAAATGAACCAAATCGCGCCGCTTCTCCTTGCTTCGGACCGTGAACATGAAGTAGTCTAAGGCGCTCATCAACACATTGGGGAGCTTGTGATGAACTAAGGTCTCTGTCAGGAAGAATTGCACTAGATGCACCTGATAGTTTTCATATCCCATCTCTCCCAAGCATTTCAAGATGCGAGTGATCCGTAAATTGTTGTGGCTGTACCTAAGAAGAGGAGAGCAAAGGAGGGGGAAGAATGAATGAACACTTCAATACTGTACAATATCTGAAACTGTCTGGTTACCATCAAATTAAGCTTCAATGTACAACCTGAGGCCCTCCAGGTGTTTGGGACTCCAACCAGTTTGCTCAATGGTCAGGAATTCTGGGAGCTAAAGTCCAAAACACCTGGAGGGCCACAAGTTGTGCAAGCCTACGTATCAGCAAAGCCCAAGAGAACCTATTAGAAACAGCCAGTATTAATAACAGAAGGCTAGATTGATTGGATGGCATCCTTGAAGTGACTGGACTGACCTTGAAGGAGCTGGGGGTGGTGACGGCCAACAGGGAGCTCTGGCGTGGGCTGGTCCAGAGGTCACGAAGAGTCGGAGACGACTGAACAAATGAACAAGATTGATTCATGGGCTCCCTGGTGGCACAGCGGCTTAAACGCTGAGCTGCTGAACTTGCTGACTGAAAGGTTGGCGGTTCATACACGGGGAGTTTTGGCCTGAATCAACAGGAGTATAGTGTCTAGGTCCAGGGAAGTCATGCTATCCCTCCATTCCACCTTGGTTAGACCACACCTAGAATATTGTGTCCAATTCTGGGCACCACAATTGAAGAGAGATATTGACAAGCTGGAAAGTGTCCAGAGGAGGGCGACTAAAATGATCAAGGGTCTGGAGAACAAGCCCTATGAGGAGCGGCTAAGGAGCTGGGCATGTTTAGCCCGAAGAAGAGAAGGCTGAGAGGAGACATGATAGTCATGTATAAATATATGAGAGGAAGTCACAGGGAGGAGGGAGCAAGCTTGTTTTCTGCTGCCCTGGAGACTAGGACGCAATGGAACAATGGCTTCAAACTACAAGAAGGAGATTCCATCTGAACATGAGGAAGAACTTCCTGACTGTGAGAGCCATTCAGGAGTGGAACTCTCTGCCCCGGAGTGTGGTGGAGGCTCCTTCTTTGGAAGCTTTTAAACAGAGGCTGGATGGCCATCTGTGGGGGGTGCTTGTGTGAATGCAATATTCCTGCTTCTTAGCAGGGGGTTGTACTGGATGGCCCGTGAGGTCTCTTTCCAACTCTGTGATTCTATGAGTGAGATGAGTTCCCACTGTTAGCCCCAGCTTCTCCTAATCTAGCAGTTCGAAAACATGCAAATGTGAGTAGATCAATAGGTACCACTTCGGCGGTAACAGTGCTCCATGCAATCATACTAGCCACATGACCTTGCAGGGGTCTACATACAACGCCAGCTCTTTGACTTAGAAATGGAGATGAGCACTACCCTCCAGAGTCGGACATGGCTAGACTTCATGTCAGGGGAATCCTAATCTGCCAGAAGAAGTGCTGAAGTATCCAGAAAATGCTTAGAAAGAATGTCTATTTAGAATATGCCAGGTCTTCCAGCACAACTCAATAATAATAATAATAATAATAATAATAATAATAATAGCACAGTTGGACTCTACAGTCAATTTCTGGCAGAAACACCATATGATGAGGATGATGATGATAATTTGCTTTGTTTATACCCTGCTTTTCTCCCCAAGGGGACTCGATATAATCACACTGGACGAGCACGAAAATGCCCAGAGATGACCTACTTTGTGAAATGAAACCATGGGTATGGTCCTGCTGATACAGGAGCCATACAGTACACAAACAAAACAAAACAAAAACCCCATGCTAATTGTGTGATAATTGAGGCATCCAATGAAAAGCACTGAGAATACATGCATATGCAACACAATCCAGATGTCCAGCTGGTGGATCAACGTACCGGTTGAGGTTTTCAAACCTCTCGCACCAGTTCTCCGCTCTTCTCAGCTCTCCCGTTTCTTCGTTGACCAGGTCAATTCCATAAAACCCCAGCATGAGCTTGTAAGCCCGGACAAACCTGTCCATCACTTCCTTAGATTTTTTGAAGGCCTAAATGACAGACAAAGAAAAACCCCTATACATTAGGCACACGGAATACTGCTTGTTCAATCAGAGGTTGTGTGGGAAATGAAGGGATTTTATATCATGACTAGCCATCCCTTGCCACACGTTGCTGTGGCCCTCAGAAAACAGAGGAATTCCAGGCATGAAACAATAGACAGAAGAGACATATGGAAGGGACATTGATAGATGGAACAGAAGGTTGATGGATAGAACATAGGTAGGTAGGTAGGTGGATGGTCAGATAGACACACACACATATTTAAGGGGCCAAAGGGGGTTGGACTGGATGGCCTTTGGGGCTCCCTTCCAACTGGTTGACCATCTGTCAGGCAGGCATTGATTGTGTCTTCATTTACCACCCAATGAGGTTGGACTGGGTGGCCTTTGGGGCTCCTTTCCAACTGGATGGCCATCTGTTGGGAGGGCTTTGATGGTGTCTTCCTTACAAGGATGGTAAAATCTCAAAACATCCAGGTGTCCCCTGGGCAATGTCCTTGCAAACAGCCAGTTATCTCATACCAGAAATGACTTGAAGTTTCCCAAATCACCCTGACACCAAAAATACCCTGTTCTTAACTATGAACTCTGCTGCTGAGTATGCATGGGTGCTTTTGGACAGCACCTGTGAACAACTCGGTTCAGCCTATTTAGTATGCATGCCCAGTGTGGAACACATTTCACCACGTTAAAACAGTAGATGTGGCTCTTAATGAGACATGCCGCATTGTCACGGGGTGTCTGCGCCCTACACAACTGGAGAAATTACACTGTTTAGCTAGTATTGCACTACCTGACATCTTCTGGGAAGTAGCAGCCAAAAATGAAAGAACCAAAGCAGTGACATCTCCAGCTCACCCCCTGTTTGGGTATCAGCCAGCATGTTAACGACTTAAATCAAGAAACAGTTTTCTAAGATCTACAGAGACACTCGCTGGAACACCTCAGCAAGCGAGAGTCCAAAAGTGGCAGGCTCAAACCCAGAACCTCAACCAATGGCTGATACCAAATGAGAGACTCCCCCCTGGGCACACAGAAGACTGGGCGACTTGGAAGGCGCTGAACAGACTGCGCTCTGGCACCACGAGATGCAGAGCCAACCTCAAGAAAAGGGGCTACAAAGTGGAATCCACGACATGCGAGTGTGGAGAAGAGCAAACCACAGACCACCTGCTGCAATGCAACCTGAGCCCTGCTACATGCACAATGGAGGACCTTCTTGCGGCAACACCAGAGGCACTCCAAGTGGCCAGCTACTGGTCAAAGGACATTTAATCAACTACCAAGCTTGCAAACTTTGTGTTTTGTTTTGTTTGTTTGTTAAAAATGCAATACAACTGTTTGATTTGCTCCCGACACGATAAATAAATAACTATGAGTTTTATTTTTGAAGGCTTTCATGGCCAGAATCACTGGGTTTATGTAGGTTTTTTCGGGCTATGAGTTGCATGTAAGTTGGATGTCTGTACCTTAGCAACTGCCTATAATTGTTTTTCCTTTATCCCCACCAAACCTTGTCCCCAGCTTCGGTATTACTTCACTATTTGATTTGGGAGGTGGGGTTTCAGTTTGAATGCTGTAACATGATTGTGAGATGGTGCCCAAACAGCGAGATTTTGAACAGCCCCATTTTAAAATAAAAGAAAACAGGTAAGGCTGGATGGCCATCTGTCAGGGGTGATTTGAATGCAATATTCCTGCTTCTTGGCAGGGGGTTGGACTGGATGGCCCATGAGGTCTCTTCCAACTCTTTGATTCTATGATTCTATAAGTGTTTTAATCAGAGAAATGGCACACAGAGAGAATTAAAGGGCAGACACTTTCCCTTCCACTGTTGGCTCTGCTGCAATCCAAAGCTGCTTATAACCAGGTACAGAGAGATAAAAGCTATGCATTTATGTTTTAATACTACTTTCCCTAATGTGCATTTCCTGGAACAAAAGAAATAGGATTTAATCCTCTTGCATTCTTCCCAGTTTTGAACACTTCCCTCAAAAAATACACGTAGAAAGTGCAGATAGTATGAAAAGGTGCTCAGAGAAATGGAAATGTTGGCAAACATAATGCACAAAAAGATGTTGAATGCAGGCCTGGGCAAACGTGGGTCCTCCAGGTGTTTTGGACTTCAACTCCCACCATTCCTAACAGCCTCAGGCCCCTTTCTTTTCCCCCTCAGCCGCTTAAGCGGCTGAGGGGGAAAAGGAAAGGGCCTGAGGCTGTTAGGAATGGTGGGAGTTGGAGTCCAAAACACCTGCAGGGCAAAAGTTTGCCCATGCATGATATAGAGCATGCAGTTTTTAAAAAGGTATATACAAATGAAAATACAATGTATTGTCAAAGGCTTTCATGGCTGGAATCACTAGGTTCTTGTGGGTTTTTTCGGGCTATAGGGCCATGTTCTAGAGGCATTTCTCCTGACGTTTCGCCTGCATCTATGGCAAGCATCCTCAGAGGTAGTGAGGTCTGTTGGAATTAGGACAATGGGTTTATATATCTGTGGAATGACCAGGGTGGGACAAAGGACTCTTGTCTGCTGGAGCTAGGTGTGAATGTTTCAACTGACCACCTTCATTAGCATTTGAATGCCTGGCTGAGCCTGGGAAAATCTTTTGTTGAGAGGTGTTAAGATGTGCCTGGTTGTTTCCTCTCTGCTGTTTTGCTGTTGTAATTTTAGAGTTTTTTAATACTGGTAGCCAGATTTTGTTCATTGTCATGGTCTCTTCCTTTCTGTTGAAATTGTCCACATGCTTGTGGATTTCAATGTGTAGTGACATGGTGGTTGGAGTGGTCCAGCATTTCTGTGTTCTCAAATAATATGCTGTGTCCAGGCTGGTTCTCAGGTGCTCTGCTATGGCTGACTTCTCTGGTTGAAGTAGTCTGCAGTGCCTTTCATGTTCCTTGATTCGTGTTTGGGCGCTGTGTTTCCTCTCTGCGTTTGCAGAGAGGAAACAACCAGGCACATCTTAACACCTCTCAACAAAAGATTTTCCCAGGCTCAGCCAGGCCTTCAAATGCTAATGAAGGTGGTCAGTTGAAACATTCACACCTAGCTCCAGCAGAGAATGGCCCCACTCCAGCCATTCCACAGATATATTGTCCTAATTCCAACAGACCTCACTACCTCTGAGGATGCTTGCCATAGATGCAGGCGAAATGTCAGGAGAAATGCCTCTAGAACATGGCCCTATAGCCCGAAAAAACCCACAAGAACCTAATGAAAATACAATTTGTTCATAAGTGGAACATGGGTTCTAAGGTCTTACAGCCAGAGATGTTCTTCCTTCTCAGAGTAGTAGAGACAATGGGAGAATTTTACAACGAGGGGAAAGTGTGGTCCTTGAGCCAGCATTTTAATAAGTTCTGGAAGACCTCCTACCTCAATTTCTTGGCAGGTGAGAAGTCTTGCCCGCCAGTTCATCCCCTGTTCACGCAAAGGAAACAGCCTGGAAAGAAAGAAAGAAATTATATCCCTGTCAAGAACAATGCAGATTGAATGACCAGCAAGACCTAACATCACGTTGAGTTTGATTGAACAATGACAAGCTGAGAATCTTTACTAAGTAGTTCAAAGGAGGGCAAAGGCCACTGTCCTCTTCTAGCCACTTCCAACATAATTAGAAGTGACACTATATTACTTCTTGTTCTGCGGTTCAGTTGGAATATAACCTCCTTAAGGAAGTTGGGGTGGCTCTGTCTTTGCTGTCTTTTCAGTGGTCAGATAAGTCCTTTCTATTCCAGCAAGCCTTTGAGAATTGACTGCAGACAAGGCCTTTTTTGTTGAAGGCTTTCATGGCCGGAATCACTGGGTTGTTGTAGGTTTTTCGGGCTATATAGCCATGTTCTAGAGGCATTCTCTCCTGATGTTTCGCCTGCATTTATGGCAAGCATCCTCAGAAGGTGCTTGCCATAGATACAGGCGAAACGTCAGGAGAAAATGCCTCTAGAACATGGCCATATAGCCTGAAAAGACCTACAACAACCCAAGGCCTTTTTTGCTGCTGTGTTATAAAGTAAAGCAGTCAATCTTCCATAGGAACACTGCAAAAGTGGGAAAACACTATTTAAAACAAAAGAAAAGAAAAGAAAACAGGGAGAATGCCTCTCAATGAATGCCTAAGTCCTCCAGTGCAACTTCTGTGGATTGCATTACTCGCAAGTCTGGTGAATATGTTCTTTCCAGGAATCCCTATGTCCTCCAGGCAAAATATGAATGGTCATTTTCTACCAAACATTGGCATAGAACTGTGTTGGAGGACCTAGGAATTTCCAGAAAGAACATACTGATGAACCGTCTGTAGACTGTCCACATCTCGCAGGCGTATAGCAGTCTACAGACGTCACATGCAACTCCTGGAACGATTCCATCAGCGCTGCCTCCGGAAAATCCTGCAAATCTCTTGGGAAGACAAGCGGACAAATGTCAACGTGCTGGAAGAAGCAAAGACCACCAGCATTGAAGTGATGGTCCTCCGCTGGACTGGCCATGTTGTCCGAATGCCTGACCACCGTCTCCCAAAGCAGTTGCTCTACTCAAGAACGGAAAACGGAATGTTGGAGGAAAAGAAAAGAGATTTAACGATGGGCTCAAAGCCAACCTTAAAAACTCTGGCATAAACACTAAGAACTGGGAAGCCCTGGCGCTTGAATGCTCCAGTTGGAGGTTGGCTGTGACCAGCAGTGCTGCAGAATTTGAAGAGGCACGAATGGAGGGTGAAAGAGAGAAACCTGCCAAGAGGAAGGCGCATCAAGCCAACCCTGACCGGGACCGCCTTCCACCTGGAAACTGATGTCCTCACTGGAATATAATAACTGGAATATATGGTAATGTGGACTCAGATAACCCAGTTCAAACTCTGGCAAAGACACTGAGAACTGGGAAGCCCTGACCTGTGAGCGCCTCCAGCTGTGACCAGCAGTGCTGCAGAATTTGAAGAGGCACTAATGGAGGGTGAAAGAGAGAAACATGCCAAGAGGAAGGCGCATCAAGCCAACCCCAACCGGGACCGCCTTCTACCTGGAAACTGATGCCCTCACTGTGGGAGAACATGCAGATCAAGAATAGGGCTCCACAGTCACCTAGGATACTACACTTGGAGGACCATCATCCTCGGACTATGAGGGATTGTTTAAGTAAGTCAGTAATTATTGAACCATCACAGAGATTACGATTTTCTGGGGAGGCTCTGCTCTTGGCCTCTTTTGCAAGTGCGATTGGTGGGGACAAGAGACAGGGCCTTCTCTGTGGTGGCTCTTCGGCTCTGGAACTCTCTCCCCAGTGATTATAGATCAGCGCCTTCCCTCCTAGCCTTTAGAAAGAAAACAAAGACATGTTTTCTTTCTAAAGGCTAGGCATCCTCTCCTCTGAGGATGCCTGCCATAGATGCAGGCAAAACGTCAGGAGAGAATGCTTCTGGAACATAGCCATACAGCCTGAAAAACTTACAACAACCCAAAGACATGGTTCTGGGACTAAGCCTTTGGTCAGTAAAATAATGCAGTGCAAAAATAAATTAGGAAATATGTACAATGACAATCGGAATGGTTACAGTTACAATTTTTGGATCATGTGATTTTAATATTTATATTAAGATGTTTTTAATGCTTCGTTTTAATGTTTAAATGTTGTTTATGTCTCATGTTTAATGGTTTTAATGATTTATAGTTATATGTTCGTGCTCAGTTATTATGATTTTTGTTTTTACATGTATATTGGCATTGAATTTTTGCCATGAGTATGTTATAAACCGCCTTGAGCCGCTCCCAGGGATGAGAAAGACGGTACATAAACATAGTAAATAAGTAAATAAATAGATCAAATTTGTGAATAAGCAAATCTATAGAAGTTAAACTTGTGGAGGGCCAATTGTACTCAAAACTATGGTGCTTACTGCAGCTGTCGTGGATGTAACCGTTTTTACAGACACAAAAGAGGTAGTTAGCACATAAAAATACTCAAAGACAAATAATCCAATTTTTCCATTAAGGGCCCACCCAAACGAAATGTATTATCTATCTTTTGAAATATGCCTTGGCATAAGTGTGAGAGAGCAGAGAGGAGAGTCAACGAGGAAATGAGACCATCCAAATGTGGGAAGCAGTTCAGAGCACCTCTCCGTAGGTCATTACCCTTTTAATTTGCTATATTTACCACTGAATATAGGAATGGTTTTCTTCTAGAATTCCATAGTCATTCTGCCACTTCTCAAGAAGGTCATCAATAAAGAGGCCTAGAGGAAGAATGAGAAAATTAAATATATATATAAAAAATTCACTTCTAATGGTCAAGGTGCAAATGCTCTGAATGGTTTCATGGTCCCTTGCTCATCGCCAACAACAACACAAAATCGGGGTGTGCACGATGTGAAAACAAGAAAAAGGTGTCCCAATTTTCTGAGGCAACATGAACAACTAAATTGGGTAAAGGGGAGGCCATCTAATCCCCCAAATCCATGGTTAAGTTACCTTCCCGCCAGAGTGGTACCTATTGATCTACTAATATTTGCATGTTTTCGAACTGCTAGGTTGGCAGAAGCTGGGGCTAACAGCGGAAGCTCACCCCGCTCCCCAGATTCAAGCTGCACCTTGTAAAATAAAACTTTCTCTTCTCCAGGATTATACAAAGGGGCTGAGACTTGCCTGGAGACAAGCTTTGATTTTTGATGTCATGATTTTGATGACATGAAAGCATTTCACAGTGGGATGGGCACTGTTGGATTGAATCTCCCATTATCCCCAACCTGCTGGGAGCTAGGATCCAAAAACATCTGGAGAAGCAGCTTCCCTGCCTCACCCAGCTGCAAAGCAAAATTTAATTGTGACATACAGCAAGGAAGGACGCATAAGTACTTAAAGAGAAGGAAAGAAGCCTTCGCCTCCAGGGAAGAAGAGGAAATCATGTCCCTCTTAATGACAAGATTCAACGGCTTCCCAATGCTGTTTAATTTGGATGCTCAGGAAGAAAACAACTATAGGAGATATATATGCTTTCAGATATTTAATATGAGCGAGACTGACTGCCGGCTCTCTGCCTGTCTGCCTTATTTGAGAAAAGGGGGCGGAAGGAGAATCCCTTTTCAAGTAACACACCATTCAATCCTGCGTCGAGGGCCAAGGGGCAAAACACAACTTGACAGCCACCGCTTCCTTTTGAAAACAAAACAATACAGAAAGCCATACCATTAGGCATGAAACGAATCTCGTTTTTGTAAAAGCTTAGATTCCACAGTTCGGCCTCTTCTACATCCGTTTCTTCTAAATCCTAAAGGGAAAAAAAAGGAAAAACCATTGAATACGGTAGTGGAAGCAGTGATTTCTTTAAACAAACAAACATATCCATGAACAAGCCGTACAGTAGGACCTCCATGTCTGGACTACAGTTACTTAACATTGTGGATATGACTGAACCACATTAGATTGCCTGATTTTCAGTCCCAGAATACATACAGTTATATCTTGGAGTCCTCGTGGACAACAAGTTAAACATGAGCCAAAAATGTGATGTGGCGGCAAAAAAAGCCAATGGGATTTTGGCCTGCATCAATAGGAGCATAGGGAAGTAATACTACCCCTCTATTCTGCATTGGTTAGACCACATCTGGAATATTGTGTCCAATTCTGGGCACCACAATTCAAGAGAGATATTGACAAGCTGGAATGTGTCCAGAGGAGAGCGACTAAAATGATCAAGGGTCTGGAGAACAAGCCCTACGAGGAGCAGCTTAAGGAGCTGGGCATGTTTAGCCTGAAGAAGAGAAGGCTGAGAGGAGACATGATAGCCATGTATAAATATGTGAGAGGAAGCCACAAGGAGGAGGAAGCAAGCTTGTTCTCTGCTTCCATGGAGATTAGGACAAGGAACAATGGCTTCAAACTACAAGAAAGGAGATTCCATCTGAACATGAGGAAGAACTCCCTGACTGTGAGAGCTGTTCAGCAGTGGAACTCTCTGCCCCAGAGTGTGGTGGAGGCTCCTTCTTTGGAAGCTTTTAAACAGAGGCTGGATGGCCATCTGTCAGAAGTGATTTGAATACAATACTCCTGCTTCTTGGCATGGGGTTGGACTGGATGGCCCATGAGGTCTCTTTCAACTCTATGATTCTATGATATGATTCAGCACTGAGTCTTGGCTGTTAAGGTGGCGTCAAACTTCAGTAATTCTAAGGTGTATGAGGGGTGTTCATTAAAGATTTCCCCTGACCCACTTCTGTTTATCACAGGATGCTGAAACTGCACAAGTGTAATGATATACCTCTCTATAGGATACGTGCCAATTTGCAACTCAGAACTAATAACGGTCTTGATTTTACTGGTGCTGAAGTGGTGCGAGGTTTGATGATTGACCCAGTAGAATACAGAATGCAGCAAGGAAGTTCCTTTACTTGAAAGGCCACACATGGGTTTATGGTAATGATTCCCCATCGTATGATGTAATCAAGAACTGGAATCATCAATTCAAATGTGGTCAGACTTCGGTGCGAACAGCTCCAATTCCAGCGTGACTCCACTATGCTATTGATGAAGACACCATCCAGCAAGTAGAGGTCACTATTTTGGAAAATGGCCTTTTAACTGTTCGTCACCTAGCTCAAAGTGTCAAGATTAGTGTGGGGTTTGTGGAAAAAATCATCCAAGATCATCTTCACATGCAAAATGTATGCGCTCGATGGGTCCCCCGGCTGCTCACACCTTTTCAGAAGCAGGAATGCACCGAATACTCTCGGGCTCTATTGACGATGTGTCATGGAAACCAGGAGGACTTTTTCAACAGACTGATCACACAGGATGACAGCTGGGTCCATCACTCTGATCCTGAGACTAAAATCCATCATCATGACTCACTACCTCCAAAGAAGGAACGTGGCCAACTCTTGGCAGGCAAGGTCATGCTCACAGTATTTTGGGACTAGCATAGAGTAGTACTGATGGATTCCCTAGCAAAAAGTACCATGATCACTGGGGCATACTATGCTTCACTGCTGCGGAAATTGTGGGAGGCCATCAAAACCAAGAAACATGACATGCTCACCAAAGGTATCCACCTTCTGCAAGACAATGCACCAGTCCACAACTCACATGTTGCCCAGATGGAAGCATGCTCCGGCGGCTTTGAAATTCGACTGCATCCTCCTTATTCACCCAACCCCACAACATCAAGCTTCCACCTCTTTCCAACACTGAAGTTATTTTTGAAGGGCAAGCATTTTTCAGAGGATGAGACTCTGATTTCCAAAGTCACAACATGGCTTTTGGAGCAACCTACAAGCGAGGTATTTACAGTTGCTTCAAAAGATGGGAGAAGTGTGTGTCTCTAGGTGGAAACTATGGAGAGAAGGACTCATAAATGTGCCAAGTTTCATTGCTCTCAGTCCACAGGAAGTGGGTCAGGGGAAATCTTTAAACACCCTCTGCTTCCCCAAGTACCGGTCTGGTGCAAAGATGCAGCTTTCCAAGGTCCCTTGCTAACCAATGCAGCTCCTTAATCCCCCCCAGTGACCCACTCCTTATTTAAAGTCTGGACTACAACCCAAATAAGATAAACACTTCATAAACAAGACAACCACTATGGACTACTGTTTTCAAAGCTAATGTTTACAAAACTTGGGGCTCTTCATGCTGCACCAGTACTATTATTGATTTATTTATTTATGGCATTTCTACCCCGCTTTTCTCAACGCCGGAAGGAACTCAAAACGGAGATTCCTTACCGGATAACGCCGCCTGTACTTCTGCATATCTCTTGCTGCCATCCAGTTGCGTCTCTTTGTGTTCTAGGGTAAAGAAAGAGGTGAGAGTGAGTAGAGGGTGCCCACAGTCCTCTGTGCAAAATACATCCTCAAGGCACAAAATCTTGGAAACTGAGTAGAGTCAGTCCTTGGGTGGAGACGACCAAGGAATCCCAGGTGACACAGGCTATAATTCAGAGAAAGAAACTAGCAAAACCACCTCTGAATATTCCTTGCACTTCCTAGACCGCATTTACAGATTATAAGCAGACAAAGTGTACTTTGCTGAAATCTGTCTTGTGATGCTCAAAAGCACACCATAGGTGGTTCACAAGCCACAGACCACAGTCTGTGGTTTGGGTTGCTGTGAGTTTTCCAGGCTGTATGGCCATGTTCCTGAAGCATTCTCTCCTGACGATTCACCCACATCTATAGCAAATATCCTCAGAGATTGAGGGGTCTGTTGGAAACTAGGCAAGTGAGGTTTATGTATCTGTGGAATGTCCAGGATGGAAAAAAACTCATCTGCTTGAGGCAAGTGTTAATGTTGCAATTGGCCACCTTGATTAGCATTCAATGGCCTTGCAGCTTCAAAGCCTGGCTGGTTGCTGCCCGGGGGAATCATTTGTTGGGAGGTGTCAGCTGGCACTGATTGATTCTTGTCTGGAATTCCCCTGAGCAACACTCAAAAAGCATTTCACAAAAACATTATTACTCCTACCTTACATCTTCTAAAACCCACTGACAAAAGGTTTGTCCTTCGCTGATCCTGAAAAAGAGGCACATTTTAACATAAGTCAAAATTGTATAATTATCACTTTGAAACTGCCAGAAGACTAAATGTCATGTTTTATTTTTTTTTGCATTTGTTCAGTTACATTACAAAAAAGTTTCTTGAAATTTAGCCCCTTTTTCCAATAACGCAGGTAGAACAATGCTATGTTATAAATGTAATGTATCAAGTGATAATGTTCCCCTTTTTTACAACGTTCCTGCAACTGCTTTATTACAGCCTGGTATGAAAAATCTCTCACCTTTGTCCTTTTATAACAAGCGTGGGCAACTATGGAAGATCAGGGGATGCATTAGCCCTCCCAAAAAAAGTAATTATTTTTGGTTCTCACATTTTGAGGCTTCTATGGGTTTTGTTTTTTTTGTTTTTTCAACATTTCATTTTAACTTCAAGGTCAACCAGAGTAAGCCATATGTAGTCAAAACGCCTTCCACATATCATTTCTTGGCATTTGGGAGCAAAACAAATACATAAAACATGACCCGGGGGCAGTTATATGAGGCCTATAATTGTTTGTTTATTTGTTTACTTTATTTTTATCCTGATACAGGTACCCAAAGCGGCTTACAATAAATATAACACAGTGCAAATAAAAGAATGTAAATACAGTAATATATAAATTCAAAAAAATCAATTCAATCTAGACAATACTTCATCCATTCCTGCTTTACAGCTATCCATTTCGCCAATTGTTGAATCTGAACTTGTCACCCGCAGTGGGTTAAACCCCTGTGCCGGCAGGACTGAAGACCAACAGGTCGCAGGTTCGAATCCAGGGAGAGGCGGATGAGCTCCCTCTGTCAGCTCCAGCTCTCCAAGCGGGGACATGAGAGAAGCCTCCCACAAGGATGATAAAAACATCAAATCATCCGGGCGTCCTCTGGGCAACGTCCTTGCAGACGGCCAATTCTCTCATACCAGAAGCGACTTGCAGTTTCTCAAGTCGCTCCTGACACGACAAAAAACAAACAAACCCAAGTGTTATATCCATGTTTTCTATTACAATTCACATTTCCTCTTCATCCCATTGGTCTCTATATGTCTTTCAGTGTGTCTGTCACTCCAGGCATATGAAGAAGTGGACTGGAATCCACTAAAGCTCATATTAGAAATGTCTTTTTCCTCAATCAGTCCCACCAGGATGTTACAGCAAAGCATGGCTATGTCTCTGGATGCAATTCTTTGAGTTACTTTAACTCATTACAGGACTATAACTTCTCTAAACGATCAAAGGGGGATCCTCTTGCAGATCTAGAACCATTTGAGACAAGGAGCAAAGAATGTAGTAAGGACGCATTATTATTGTTTAGAATATTTATTTATATTTATATATAAAAATTATATAAACATATATAAATGTATATATGTGTATGTATGTTTAGAATATTTATTTATATGCTGCACGAAGGGGACTCAGAGCGGCTTACAAGATACATACAATATAGTATATTATTAGCTTAGTACAATATCAGTATTATATATTACTATATTGTACTATATCTTTATATTGTAATATTATTAGTAATATTACATGTAATATAAAATATATAATTGTAATATCATATTCTTATAAGTATTATATTGTATTACATTATCTACATATATATAAATGCTCTGTGCATAAGGAGTACCTTAAAAACAAAAGAACCAATGAACGAAATCACACCAAATTTGGCAGCGAAACATCTCACAACAAAAGGAGTGACCATCACTCAAAAAATTATGATTTTGCCATTTGGGAGTTGTAGTTGCTGGGATTTATAGTTCATCTACAATCAAAGAGCATTCTGAACTCCATCAACGATGGAATTGAACCAAACTTGGCAAACAGAACTCCCTTGACCAACAGAAAATATTGGAAGGGTTTGGTGGGCATTGACCTTGAGTTTGGGAGTTGTAGTTCACCTACATCCAGAGAGCACTGTGGACTCAAACAATGATGGATCTGGACCAAACTTGGCACAAGCACTCAATACGCCCAAATATAAACACAGATGGAGTTTGTGGGAAATGGACCTTGATATTTGGGAGTTGTAGTCACTGGGATTCACAGTTCACCTACAATCAAAGAGCATTCTGAACCTCACGAACGACAGAATCAGGGCAAACTTCCCACACAAAACCCCCATGATCAACAGAAAATACTTAAGGCCATCCAATCCAACTCCCTTCATCAGGGCAAGAAAATGTAATCAAAGTCTTCCTCACAAAGAGCCATCCAGCCATAGAGATAGATGGATAGATATGATTCACACACACACAGATATAGTATCATAGATTTGAAAGGGACCCTTAAAGAAGGACAATGATGTGTTGCATGTTCCAGGGTGGGCAAACCAGACACTCTCCACATCAACACTGACAAAGAAACAGCAAAAAATACTGTTTACCCACAAGCATAAAGAAATTACATATATTAGAAACCAACACTTTCTCATTACTTTATTTTCCAGACCAACAGACTGGGCCACAGCAACGCGTGGCAGGGGACCGCTAGTATAGTATATTATTAGCATAGTACAATATCAGTATTATATATTACTATATTGTACTATATCATTATATTGTAATATTATGTTTAATATAAAATGTATAATTATAATATCATATTAGTAGTAGTATTATATTGTATTACATTATAATATTATAAATGTTATATGTATATACAATATATTATATTACATAGTAACGAGTAATAGGTGCCACATTGGCACAATGGGTTAAACCCCTGTGCCAGTTGAACTGCTGACCTGAAGGTCGGCTGTCTGAAACTGTGAGATGGGGTGAGCTCCCATCTGTCAGCTCCAGCTTCCCATGTGGGAACATGAGAAGCATCCCACAAGGATGGTAACACATCCAGGCGTCCACTGGGCAACGTCTCTGCAGACGGCCAATTCTCTCACACCAGAAGTGACTTGCAGTTTCTCAAGACGCTTCTGACATGATTAAAAAAAACAGTTATTTTTGGGAAGGGGGATTAATTGGACCTGAATAACACATTACTTTTGGAAAGTAGCTCTCTAAGCACTGCTCTCATATATAAACGCTTGGCAGGTGCAACTGTGAAGTCAGTGAAGTCAAAACCAAAAATGGTTGCAATGGTTAAGGGTTAAAATATGTTCACTAAATGTCCAAAGTGCATGTAACTCTGCGCATGGCTTCCAAGGGCCTTCTTAGCACGGCACTGACCTACTCAAGTTGCAACACATGACATTGTGAAATCTCCCATTTCTGCATCAGCAAGGATCAAATGTTAGTTTCGTTTCTGCTGAGCTGCACACCAAAACTAAAATTAACCACTGGTTTCACTTTTATTTTTCCTGGGGATCTCTCTTTCCTTCTAAGGTGAGAGAGTGAGAGAAACAAGAGGTGGCTTGAAATTAACACCCCAAGTATTTAAAACAGCAAGAACAGCTCCGGTTCAGCTTACTTGTCCGAATGTATCTCCCTCTACGTTCCGCCTCATAGTTTAAGATGCACTGGGGAGGCCCTGCTCTTAGTCCCACCAGCCTTGCAAACGCGTCTGGTGGGGATGAGGGACAGGGCCTTCTCGGTGGTGACCCCCCGCTTGTGGAACTCACTCCCCAGCGAGATTAGATCAGCGTCCTCCCTCCTTTCCTTTAGGAAAAAACTGAAATTGTGGATTTGGAACCAGGCCTTTGGCTAGCAGGCATAATGGCACTTTAGACATTGAACTGGACCATGTGATTGTGATAATAATGGAAACAGCTATATGATTGTTTAACTAATGTTATTGTTCTTAAATTATTGTGTATTTACGGTTTTATAATGTTGTTATACTGTGATTTGCAGCATCAAATAGTTGACAGTGGTAGCCCTTCTGTTGTAAATAAATAAATAAAATATGTTACGAAATGTTTTTTTTTTTTCCAGACATCTGCTGGGGATTGTTTCCAAGACTACACTTGGATACCAAAATCTATAGATGTTCAAGTCTATATACACTGGTGTAGTGAAATGGCTTGCCTATATACAAAAAAGCCTGGAGAAGACAATTATGCTGGGGAAAGTGGAAGGTAAAAGGAAGAGGGGCCGACCAAGGGCAAGATGGATGGATGGCATCCTTGAAGTGACTGGACTGACCTTGAAGGAGCTGGGGGTGGTGACGGCCGACAGGGAGCTCTGGTGTGGGCTGGTCCATGAGGTCACGAAGAGTCGGAGACGACTGAACGAATGAATAACAACACCATATACAAAAAACAAGGTTTCCTTTTTGGGTGGAATATTTTCCAAGCTGTGGATAGTTGAATCTGTGGATGCAGAAATCAACTGCCCATGGTCACAACAAGCTCTTTTAAATTGTAAATGTAGTAAAGACGCAACGCCAGCCCAAATAAAATCATAAAATCATAGAGTTGGAAGGGACCTCATGGGCCATCCAGTCCAACCCCCTGCCAAGAAGCAGGAATATTGCACTCAAAGCACCCCTGACAGATGGCCATCCAGCCTCTGTTTAAAAGCTTCCAAAGAAGGAGCCTCCACCACACTCCGGGGCAGAGAGTTCCACTCCTGAACGGCTCTCACAGCAAGGTATGAGTGATGCACTCATGTTCCTTCCTATAGGATTCCTGTTAGTGATGTTTTAGTAATGGCCAGGGGGTGGACTAGATGACCCTCAGGATATCTTTCAATTTTATGAAACCTATACTATTAAAAACAATGCAGCACATTGCTCACCACTCCAACCACCATCTGGATCTAACATCAGTTTACCGGACAACAAAGGATGCTGTCATACTATACATTTATTGCATGTTGATACAACTTTTAACTTCAATGTCTCCATCTTACAAAATCCTAGAATTTGTAGTTTCGTGAGTTACTTGTGAGTGATTGATTTACAAGTAGTTATATGCTGTTGAGATCCAATCATTTACAACTTCTTCATTTATTTATTTACTTCCTTACTATATTTGTATACCGCCCTTCTCAGCCCTTAGGTGACTCAGGGCGGTTTACAATGGCAATGATTTGATGCCCAAAACACTCCCAAATAACAAAATTATGGTAACGTTATGTAGTAATTACTGTATTTACAAATTTAGCACCAAAACATCTCAATGTATTGAAACAGGGGCAGATCTGGGCAGGAGGCAGACTGCGTTGGATAATACAGAATGCTGGATGAGCAAAGGTTGGATAAGTGAGACTCTACTACCTAATCCTGTATGCATTCAATAATAATGTATATATATATATATGTGTGTGTGTGTGTGTGTGTATATATATCTCAAACTGGTATGCGTTCAATAATCATAAATATGCCTATGTAAGTTTGTATATCTATATATCTGTGTGTGTATGTATGCATGATTATTGAATGCATACAGAATTATATGCACACACACATCCTGTATGTATGCCTATGTATATATATGCTGTATACACATACATATATAATGTATGCATTCAATAATCACATGTGTGTATATATATATAGATAGATAGATAGTTCTATAGAGAGAGAACTATGTGTATATATGCATGGTTACTGAATGCATACAGTGTGTGTGTGTGTATATGCATTCTATATGCATGAGTATGTATATCTATCCTGTGTGTGTATATATATATATAGTCCTGTGTATGTGTATATATACACATATATACATATATGCATGATTATTGAATGCATACAGGCTATATATATATATATATATAGAGAGAGAGAGAGAGAGAGAGAGAGAGAGAGAGAGCCTGTATACATGCTTACTTATATCTATCCTGTGTGTGTGTGTGTATATATATATATATATATATATACACATACACATATATACATACACACACAGAACTATGTATATATATGCATTATTATTGAATGCATACAGGATATATATATACACACACACACACATATATTCTGTATGCATGCTTATGTATATCTATCTTGTGTGTGTGTATATATATATATATATATAGTCCTGTGTATGTGTGTGTATATATATATACACATATATTCACACACAAAGAACTATGTATATATATGCATTCTGTATGCAAGCTTATCTATATGCATCCTGTGTGTGTGTGTATACATACATATATATATACTCTCCTGTATATTTGTGTGTGTGTATATATATATATACACACACACACACAAAGCTGTGTGTATGTGTGTGTGTATATATACACACACACAGAACTATGTATACATATGCATTCTGTATGCATGCTTATCTATATGTATCCTGTGTGTGTGTGTATACATACATACATATATACTCCTGTATATTTGTGTGTGTGTGTGTATATATATATATATAAATGCATGATTATTGAATGTATATAGGAATATACACACACACATACATATATACACATTCATGCAGGATAGATATACATAGGCCTGTGTGTGTGTGTGTGTATACACACAAATACAAACACAGAGCTATGTGCCTGTGTGTATATATATATATATATGCATGATTATTGAATGTATATAGGAATATACATACACACACACATACATAAATACACATTCATGCAGAATATACATAGGCCTGCATACAGGATGATACATACATGTGAGAGTGCATTTAAAGCCTCCCTTTCCCTGCCTAGCCCCCCAATAGCCCCCCTTGCCTCCATTCTAGCCTATGGAGGGGAGAGGGGGGGATGTGTGGGGAATACAGATGAGCCAAACCCAGGGAAGAGGGCTGGGTTGTCTTAGCACAGGGAGACCCAGATGCACCTTCAACCAGGTAAAGGGTGGGGGGGGGGGAGAGAGACTTCAAAGAGGGTCCCTGAGACTCACCTGCCCCCCTGAGGCCCACGTGCTGCTGGGAGACCACCAGCTCTGCTTTTCGGGGGTTTTGGGTCCTGATGCCACTGGAGCCTCCTTGAGCCTTCCTCTTGCTGGTGCATCCTCCTCCTCCTCCTCTTCCTCCCAGGTGGAGTCATACTCACAGCAGCCCAATTCTTCCTCCTCCTCTTCCTCCTCGCCCTCTTCCTCCTCCTCCTCTGAATCCTCGCTGGCCTGCTCTTCTTTCTTGCCTTCCCCTGCAGCCTTCCTCGCCGCCATGGCTCTGTGTGTGGACAATATAGAAGCGGGAAGAAAGGAAACCGAAAGGGAAGCCAGCCCTCCAGCAGCAGCACCCCAACAGGGAGGAGGAGGAGGAGGAGGCGGTACAAAGCCAAACGCACACGTGGGAGGAGAAAGAGGAGGAAGAGGAGGAAGAGACCATGTCAACGCCACGCCCACTCGCCTGTCCGCGCTCTCATTGGCTCTGTTGCATTCCATTGTGGAACGTTGGTGGGGATGCCATGCTGTTGTTGACTCCCAAGCAGGGACCCAATGGGGGTGGCTCCAATGTTTGGCCTACAGCAGGCACGGTCCAACTTTGGCCCTCCCTCCAGGTGTTTTGGACTCCAACTCCCACAATTCCTAACAGCCTGCCGGCTGTTAGGAATTGTGGGAGTTGGAGTCCAAAACACCTAGAGGGAGGGCCAAAGTTGGACCATGCCTGGTCAACACTGACAACCCCCATCAATTTCATAGGGAGATGGATTTCCTAGTTTGTCCCTCTGGAATACATATTGCCAACAGCGCCTTGCATTCGTTGGTATGATCGGTCATGAGTACGAAACCAATCTGTGGCAGAGTGAGCTCCTGACCAGTACTAGTCTAGCTTGCTGTCTACCTACCTATCTATCTCTTTATTTATTTATGCCACCCTTCTCACCCCAAAGGGGACTCACCCCAAAGGGGACTTATGCCACCCTTCTCACACACACACACACACACATATACATTTATATATATATAATAATATATATATATATATATATATATATATATATATATATATATATAAATGTAATGTTCGTTTGTGGGGTTAACAGAACTCTAAAACCAGTGGGAAAATTGACACCAAATTTGGACAGCATACACCTAACAACCCAATGTATGTCCTTCACTCGAAAAGTTTTGATTTTGTCATTTGGGAGTTGTAGTTCTTGGGATTTATAGTTCACCTACAATCAAAACTCCGCCAATGATGGAATTGAACCAAAGGTGACAAGTTCTTGGGATTTATAGTTCACCTACAATCAAAGAGCATTCTAAACTCCGCCAATGATGGAATTGAACCAAACGTGACACACAGGACTCCCATGAACAACAGAAAACACTAGGAGGGTTTGGTGGACATTGACCTTGAGTTTGGGAGTTGTAGTTCACCTACATCCAGAGAGAACTGTGGACTCAAACAATGATGGATCTGGGTCAAACTTGGCACGAATATTCAATATGCCCAAATGGGAGCACTGGTGGACTTTGGGGAAAATAGACCTTGACATTGGGAGTTGTAGTTACTGGGATTTATAGTTCACCTACAATCAAAGAGCATTCTGAACCCCACAAAAGAGAGAATTGGGGCAAACTTCCCACACAGAACCCCCATGACCAACAGAAAATACTTAAGGCCATCCAGTCCAACTCTCTTCACCAGGGCAAGAAAATCTAATCAAAGCCCTCCTGACAAAGAGCCATCCAGCCGTAGTGTGGCAGTCGTTAAGAAGAAAAATAATTATAATTTAATGAAATTAATGAAAGAATGAAGTTTTACCTTAGGAAGAGTTCTTAAGGGTGCGGAGAGGTAATTCTGGTGCAAGGGAAAATGACAGATGGTATGGAGGACAGGAGCAAGGCAAGAGAAGCTGTATCTTAAGTCAATATTTGAGGAAGCCAAGGCCGGAGCTGGGCTAAATGTGGAAGGTTAAAAGGGGTTGGTGCCAAGAACAAATTGGTAATTATTGATCCAAGAAGAACAAACATCTGAAGATATGGTATAACAGCGCCACCTTCTGTCTGGTTGAAGTAATTAGTAGACAATTTAATATACCTTTTTTAAAAGGATCAATTGAGGGAAATAATGTATTGTGAAAGTAATTAAAAGAAGGACTAATAAGGGAAACGCTTGCTTTGAATAAGTTAAAGATACATATAAGAAGATGTGTGGAATCATATAATATGATGTATGGAGAAATATGGGAAGTTATGATTCATTTTAAAGATTCATTTTTAATGTAAGTTATCGGGGAACATGGTCAAGATGATGTAAGGGGAAGTTGTGGAAATTGTATTATCTTGCCAACAAGTGTACTTGCCAACAAATGTTCTTGGCTGTGATGCCTCGAGGCCAAATTGATTAGATTGTGTAAATGTCAAGTGAGTTGTACGCATGTGCGAACTGGGTAATTTTGCCTATAAATACTGATGTTCTTGGGTTAAGTGCTTTGTACCACATCAGCCAGGTTGGAGCTGTGGTGCCCTTACCCGGGTAAGCATTAAAATTCTGTGAACTTGCAATGCTGTCTCTGTCTCTTCCTTCTTCACTGATCTCCTGGATTTTTGGGAATTGGAGACCCTCTGCTTCATAGATATAGATAGATATACATGATTCACACACAGGGAGATATAGTATTATAGATTTGAAAGGGACCCCTAAAGAAGGACAATGATATGTTGCCTATTCCAGAGCAGGCAAACCAGACAATCTCCACATCAACACTGACAAAGAAACAGCAAGAAATACTGTTTATCCACAAGCATCAAGACATTACATAGATTAGAAACCATTACTTTATTTTCCAGATCACCAGACTGGGCCACAGCAAAGCGTGGCAGGGGACGGCTAGTGTACATGTACACACACACACATATATGTACACACAAACACACACACACATACTGTTGTGACTCAGCAGCTTGACTCTGAGTCTGAAGCTGAGCCCTGTGGGTTTTGTGAGCCAGAGTTCCCTGATGAGGAGGATGATGGGTTACAGATTTCTGTTCCTGTCTCAGACAGGGTTGACGGTGAGGCTGCAGAAGGGGAAACAGCAAGTCAGTTCTCAGGGGAAAAGAATGTCAGTGAGACTGAAAACGAGAGTGAATTCCCACACGGCCAGGTGGATATGTCTTCGCCTCCTTTGCCTTCCCACAGTGATCCAGCCTAGCTGGTAAACCAAGATAAGGGGTTAGAGAGCCTTGAAGATAATGAATTAATGAGCAGGCAGGATCACCTGCAATTAAGGGTCCGGAGAAATTCTCACTTAGCTAGTAAACGTGAAGCCAAGTCTGCCAAAGGTCATTGCAATGTGTTCATGACTGCAAAGGGTATTTAGCCTTCTGGCTGACAAACAGGTGTTGTCAATTCAATGTGGCTCTTTCCATGCAAACTTCTATGGATTAACCTTGGCTTTAAGCAGCATGCTTTTGGCTTCCTGATTCTGGGATTTTAGATATTGTGTTCAACTGTTTTACCATGGACTCTTGTTTGACCATTGCTTCAAGGATTATGTTTCATGTTTTTACCTTTGGTTCTTGGGAACTGTGTCTTTGCATTTAAGCCTGTGTCCTGCCTATGGAATTCTTGCATTTGCTATACTATGTTTTGACTTTGCCTTTTTCTCAATAAACTATAAAATCTACAGCTTTGGTGTGGTGGTGTTTTGGAGCAAGGTGAAAACTACCCTGAATTGCAACGCATACAATATTTAGTTAGGCAATCCCTTGTAGTCTGAGGATGATGGTCTTCCAAGGTTGGTGTTCTGTCGGTGGGTCCGTAGGTGACTGTGGAGCCCAATTCTTGATCTGCATCTTCTCCCGCAGTGAGGGCAATGGTTTCCAGGTGAAAGGCAGTCTTCCTCTTGGCACATTTCTTTCGCCCTCCATTCGTGCCTCTTCAAACTCCACAGCACCACTGGTCACAGCTGATCTCCAGCTAGAGCACTCAAGGGCCAGGGCTTCCCAGTTCTCAGTGTCTGTGCCACAGTTTTTAAGGTTGGCTTTGAGCCCATCTTTAAATCTCTTTTCTTGCTCACCAACATTCTGTTTTCCATTTCATTCTCTCGGAGTAGAGAAACATACAATATTATTAGCATAGTACAATGTCAGTATTATATATTACTATATTGTACTATACCATTACATTGCAATATTATTAGTAATATTACATGTAATCAATATCTAATTATAACGATCTTAATAATCTTGATGGTTCATAGGGGAGAATATGTTTGAGAGGTAAACAGGGCCGGAGTCGTTTAGGGCTTTATAGGTTAACACCAGCACTTTGAATTGTGCTCGGAAGCTAATTGGCAGCCAGTGGAGCTGGTGTAACAGCGGAGTGGTGTGCTCCCTGTACCCAGCGCCCGTTAGTAGTCTGGCTGCCGAGCGTTGGACTAGCTGCAGCTTCCGGGCACTCTTCAGAGGCAACCCCACGTAGGGAGCGTTGCAGTAGTCTAAATGGGATGTAACCAAAGCGTGGACCACCGTGGCCAAGTCAGACTTCCCAAGGTATGGGCGCAGCTGGTGCACAAGTTTTAATTGTGCAAAAGCTCCCCTGACCACCGCCGAGACCTGGGGCTCCAGGCTCAGCGATGAATCTAGGAGAACTCCCAAACTGCGAACAATCTCATGATGTGACTGATACAATAGCTGTGCCATATTATTATTGTATTTGCTTTCTTTCTTGGAAACCCACTGTATACTAGCAGCTGATGACTCACAGGCTGACACTGATCCGTGCAATATCGCTTTGAGTAACGTTCCCTACATAAAATATTCTTAAGAAGGCTTGTTTTAGATGCAAATAGTCCACTCCCCCAATTCCCTGGTGCTACAATATCTATGGGATCTACGATGCTGGGACTGCAGTGAGATTAGTTTAATGAAGCAGATGCCAACACTGATAGCATCCGAAAAGCAATGATTTTCTTCCATCATTTAAGAATCATTTCTAAAACTCACAAGGAAAATGGCTGTTTAGGATCTTTGTTTCTAAGATAAATATATATTGTAGCCACAATGGAGAAGAAAAACATTAAGCCTATAAAACTGCCTCGACAACTTGCAATATTTGGGGAAGCTGTTAAAATAAATTCACAGCCATCGCAAGGGACCACTTTCCGTGGCCGAGTTCTTAAATTGTTGCGGCTTGCGCTCCCTATTAAAAGAACTTAGTCAATTTCAGTGTTGTCTACCAATGTATAAATCTTCCTTTCCCCCATTACTTGTAACATGTTGCTGTCACTTGAGATAGCTGGAGTGGGTCTCATTTAATAATTCAAATGGGTTTTTTTCTTCCTCCCAGGACATCCTTGCTGAGTTTGCGGGTTCCTCCAGGAATTGTCTCAAGTGCTTGCAAAGTTTTAAGATAGCTGCTGTTATCATTCCTATTATTGTTTTGTGAGAAAGGGTATGAATAATGGAAAATGAGGCCACCAAGCCTGGAATGGTTCGGACGCTTAAATTGTATCCTAGGGAATAGGCCTACAATACTCAACTGCAATTCCTGTTCTGCTGTGCAAACTGAGCTCCTTTGCATCTGGAATTTTCAACTTATTTTAGAGCCATCTACACACATTACATTGCTTTGATGCCAAGTCAACGGGAAATTCTATGTATCAATGCTTTTGTAATGACAAGAAATTGCTGGATTAGCCAATTTGCTTATATTAGAGCTGGAAAACTTCCTAAAGTAAAAGTAAAGGTTTCCCTTTGAGATTAAGTCTAGTCATGTCCCATTCTGGGGCGTGGTGCTCATCTCCATTGTATTGTCGAAGGCTTTCATGGCCGGAATCACTGGACTGTTGTAGGTTTTTTCGGGCTATATGGCCATGTTCTAGAGGCATTCTCTCCTGACGTTTCACCTGCATCTATGCCACGCATCCTCAGAGGTAGTGAGGTCTGTTGGAACTAGGAAAATGGGTTTATATATCTGTGGAAAGACCAGGGTGGGACAAAGAACTCTTGTCTGCTGGAGCTAGGTGTGAATGTTTCAACTGACTACCTTGATTAGCAATTGATGGCCTGGCAGTGCCTGGAGCAATCTTTTGTTGAGAGGTGATTAGATGCCCCTGATTGTTTTCCCTCTGCTGTTTTGCTGTTTTAATTTTAGAATTTTTAATACTGGTAAGCAGATTTGGCTACCAGTATTAAAAAACTCTAAAATTAAAACCCATTCTCCTATTTCCAACAGACCTCACTACCTCTGAGGATGCATGCCATAGATGCAGGCGAAACGACAGGAGAGAATGCCTCTAGAACATGGCCATATAGCCCAAAAAAACCTACAACAACCCACTCATCTCCATTTCTAAGCCAAAGAGCCGGTGTTGTCCATAGACAGCTCCTAGGTCATGTGGCTGGCATGACTGCATGGAGTGTTACCTTCCCAGCGAAGCGGTACCTATTGATCTACTAACATTTTAATGTTTTAAAACTGCTAGGTTGGTTGAGGCTAACAGCGGGAGATCACCCTGTCCTGCAGATTTGAACCTCCGACCTTCTGGTCAGCAAGTTCAGCAGCTCAGTGGTTTAACCCTGGAAACTTCCTAATGGGGGAAAAATTCCCAATTCTCTATGAGAGATTGGAAATATGTGGTTCACATTTTGTACTACAACTCCCATCATTTTCAGCATTGGCAATGCAGGTTTAAACTAATTTAAGGACACAGCTCTGAGTTTGCAGAACCTGTTTTTATAAAAGGGTAACTGGGATCCTGTACTCTCAAACATACCTATGATGACTGAGAGCCATCACTGTAGCTGCTTCTGCAGATTCCATCCTTGCAAGACTTACCTCTGAAGTCAGCTAGTGTCTCAATTGAAGAATGTGTGAAATGTTGAAGGCAGGTAGCTTGAGACGCACCTTGTGGTCCTGCCGTAGCAGCTTGTTCCAACTGGTGTATCTACACTGTAGTATTAATACAGTTTGGTACCACTTTGGCTGCCATGGCTCAATGCTGTAGAATCATGGGACTGGTAGTTTTACAAGGGCGTTAGCCTCTAAACTGCAGATTCCAGGATTCCATAGCAGGGCCCGTTTATAGCATTACTATAACATAACAGATGTAGGCTAGAACTCTTTTCACAAGTAATAAAGGACTCAGGACTTTCCACCCTTTCTATTTGCTGCTAACGAGGCTGTTCAGGTCTTGAACCAGTGCTTGCGGCTGTGATGGTCTGGATGAGGGTGAAGAAATTGAAACTGAATCCAGATAAGGCAGTCGTAAGGACAAACAGGGTGTAGGGTGACAGCCAGTGTTGGACAGGGTTACACTTCCCTTGAAGACACAGGTTTGCAGCTTGGGAGTGATCCTGGACTCATTGGAGCGACTCACACAGAGCATACCAACCTCCTGTTGAATCAGTTCCACTGGCTACTGGCCTGAGCCTATAAATCCCTAAATGGTTCCAGTCCAGCTTACCTATCCCTCTATGAGCCAGTCTGAACATTAATATTAGATAAGGAAGTCTTGCTCTCGGTCCCACTACCCCCACTGGCATGACTGGGAAAAGAGACAGGGCCTTCTCAATGGTGGCCCCTCAGCTGTGAACTCATTCCCCAGCGAGATCAGATCAGCCCACTCCTTCCTGACATTCAGGAAATTACTCAAAATGTGGCTAAACAAGCATGAGGAGAGTGAGTTGAAGCAGCCAAAGTAATTGAGATTGGTGCAATTTCCAATGTTGTATGTTATGTTGTGTATGTTGTATGTTTTATAGTTCACTGATTTAAATATATTATTATATGCTATTTTAGCTATGTGTTGTGTTTTATACTTTGTGAGACATTGAATTTTGCCGTTTTCTTTGTGTTGAACAGCTTTGAGTCCCTCTTGAAGTAGAGAAAAACGGTATATGCTCGCACTCCCACCTCCTTCGCAGGCGCGATTGGTGGGGACGAGGGAGAGGGCCTTCTCGGTGGTGGCCCCCCGACTCTGGAACTCACTTCCCAAGGACATCAGACATGTCCCAACTCTGGCAGTCTTTAAGAGGAGCCTGAAAACGTGGTTGTTCCAGTGTGCCTTCCAAGAATAAGGAAAACTCTCAGCAATATGCCCTCAAATGCACTTTACCACTGATTTAGGACTGACTGCGTTCCCTCATCTCTCTTTGAAAACCCTATACCACTTATATCCCACATTGTTCATGCCCAGCGTTATTTTTTAAATTTTAAAGTATTACATTTGGCCCAGCCATAGGTTTTTAAATGCTTGTGTGTTACTGTTTATTGTTTATGTGATTTATATTAATTGTATTGTATTGACTGTTTTTGTTATTGCTTTTGTTATTGATGTACTGTGGGCTTGGCGTCATGTAAGCCGCACCGAGTCCCTTGGGGAGATGGTAGCGGGGTATAAATAAAGATTATTATTATTATTATTATTACTATTATATGCAATAAATGAAATAAATCAATCAATAAATAACACCAAGGCAAAATTGGGCAACTTTTAGCCACTTTCATTCCTCTTCTTTTATTCTTTTTCTTACAAAAATATGTTTTCGAGGTCCACCAAAATAAAGTTACATTTCAAGGAGCAGGTGAGTATCTTAAAGACAACAACAAGGGCACTTCGCTATCAGATCACCCAGAAACAATATGTGACATCAGATTTTAACAATGTTTGCTTTAAAGTTCAAAGTTCTTTTGGAAGGAAAGTAATAAGAAAGCTACAATTTTAAAAATTAACTCCATTTAGGAACTCCTCACAAAAATAATGCTTCTCAAGTAAATTAAATAAAAAAAATAATACAAAATACATATTTACATTATTTTCCCAGTCTGACAAAAGCCTCCCACTCATGGGACTTAAATGGTTTTACTCACATTGAGATTTATACTCCACTCCTGAAACAAGAATGATTTCCAGCCACATTTCAAGAAATGTGGTATACTATTATATATAGAAACAGTGCCGTCGTTGTTTTGCTTCTACAACCTGACAACATTATATACTAGGTTCTTGTGGGTTTTTTCGGGCTATAGGGCCATGTTCTAGAGGCATTTCTCCTGACGTTTCGCCTGCATCTATGGCAAGCATCCTCAGAGGTAGGATCTGATGATGCTTGCCATAGATACAGGCGAAACGTCAGGAGAAATGCCTCTAGAACATGGCCCTATAGCCCGAAAAAACCCACAAGAACCTAGTAATTCCAGCCATGAAAGCCTTCGACAATATATTGAACATTATATACGTCTCCAGTTTCTGAAAGGCAAAACTGGTCACAAGAAAAGCAAAGAAAATTCTGCTTCATACGCAGATAATCTGCATTCTGTGCCGTTCGCAAGAAGACTTGTTCATATTTGGTATAGCAAATTGGTTTATGGGTAAGTAGGAAAAAGTAGAAACGACTATGTTTTGCTGATAGACGGACACTGATGGCTATAATCAAACTGCAGTCATCAAAATTAGCATCTCCACTTCATGACATAAAAAAGACTGAAAGCTGAAATCAGCCACTTTAGATCCATGTTTCCCTTTTCCCCATAAAATGCTCATTCTAAGAATTGAGCTGAACACAGCATGAAGTGGTGGGTTAATAAAATTTCCTGCCACCAGATCTGCTTAGTCAACTTAACATTTGTAAAGCAGACAGCTTTCCCCTCATCCTAAAAATTTCACTTATTTCTGCTGATCAGGAAACTATCTGTTTTGAAGAGAGACAACCAAGCTCATGTTTGCCCATATGTCCTGCTCCCTTACTAGTCATTTCCCCCTTTGTTCTAGCAAACTAGATGTCCCAAAACCTTTTGCTTCCTAGGCTCTGCTGTTCAAATGCATGTTGGGCTTCTTCCGCTTGCTGCTTCTATGTCCGGCGCCGTTTTGCAGCACTTGGACTGGAAGGATTGCTGTTTGCATTTAAGACCTTCTCGGTGGCTCTGTTCCGCTTCCTTTTATCCCCTCCTTCTTTGGATCCCGACTCGGAGGAGCTCCTCTCCTTCTCCTTGCTGCTTGGCTTTTCAGCTGGTTTGGCTAGGCTTCCCAGGGATGCATAGACTAGAATAAAAATCACATGAAATAATATGCTTTGGAGGTCATCTTTTTCGTTGTGGCCGCTAATTAAGACAACGCAAGCCCTATATGGTGGTAGGTCTATATCATACATAAACAAACTTTCTAACTTGGGAGGCCGCATGGTGGGTTGGAGCAGGGTGGACGGGCCAGGAGGGAGTGGGTTCTCCCCAAGTGCCCTCCCTGTCTTTTCCTCCCCTTCCTCTTCTTTTTTGGAGTCAGAAAGTGAAGGAAAGACTGGAAATGTTTGGATCCCAAAAGGGTTAGCCTTTGTCAGGATGGGATGGTGGATGGGAGAGAAAAAGTGTATTTATTAGACCCCATATTGCCTACTCCTGATATATAATCCTAGAATCCTAGAGCTGGAAGAGACCCCAAAGGGCCATCTAGTCCAACCCTCTGACATGCAAGAAGCACAGTCAAAGCACTCTCAATAGACAGCCTCTGTGGAAAAGCCTCCAGAGAAGGAGTCTCCACTCCCAGGCAGCCTAAGCCATTCTCCAACAGCTCTTACTCTCAGGAAGTTCTTCCTAATCTTTTCAGTCAAATCTATTTCCCTGCCACAAAAAACTGGGAAAAAGTACTGACTCAAATATGAGCCGAGGGTGGGAAATGCAGCAGCTACTGGTAAATTTCAAAATAAAAATAGATACCAATAAATTGACATGAATTGAGGCATCAGTAGTTTAATTTTTTTGAATATTTACATAAAACCCCCCAACTCTGATTAAACTATTATTCTAATCTTCTTCAAAATAAATGTGCTTGTGTATCCTTCCAATAATAATGAAGAGAGTAAAATAATAAATGTTATACTACTACTACTACTACTAATAGAGTAAAATAATGGAAATGTAATAACAGTAATAATAGAGTAAAATAATAAATGTAAGAACAATAATAGGGTAAAATAATAAAGGTTATAATAATCATAATAGAGTAAAATAATAAATGTAATAATAATAGAGAATAATAATAATAATGGAGTAAAATAATAAATAACCTTGACTTGAGTATAAGCCGAGGGAGGCTTTTTCAGCCTAAAAACAGGGCTGAAAAACTTATACTCGAGTATATAAGGTAAGCAGAAAAAGGGTTTGATGCACCTTCTCACTTCTGTAATGCATCAGGAAATGCAGATGGCATCTCCCTAACACATAATGCAGTTGTTGATCAGACTGAAGTGTACCACAGAGTTAATGTCATTGTATAGATCAGAGATTCCCAAACAATGCTTCAGACTTCAGCTCCCAGTATCTCTGACCATTGGCCAAAGTGGCTGAGGCTGCTGGGAGTTGAAGTCCAAAATGCCTAGAGGAGCAAGGTCTGAGAATCACTGGTACAGATCATATAGTTTTCCTGAGCTAGAATTACCTTCTTCAGGACCTGCATGCGATTCCATCTCTTCTTTTATTTCTTCTTTGATCTCGTCTTCATTCATTACTTTTCCTATGGGAAATAATAAGGAACAATGTATTGTCGAAGGCTTTCATGGCCGGAATCACTGGGTTGTAGGTTTTTCGAACTCTGAGGATGCTTGCCATAGATGCAATCGGAATGTCAGGAGAAAATGCTTCTAGAACATGGCCATACAGTCTGAAAAACCTACAACCCATAATAAGGAACAAACTGATGTTGTGAGTACAAATTCAGTTTTTCTCTTCATTTCTGTTGGCTGATGTGTCCTCAGGGCAGTAATCTATCCTGGATTAAAGGGTAATTCATTCTCTGAGGTCTTAAATAACTTTCTTTCAAACAATTTCAGATTTCTTGATACTTGAAAGTTGTGGCTCACATGAGCCACTGTAGAAGAAATGTGCAAAGAATCAAAACATTCTAACCATTCAAGGTTGGTCCAAGATATCTTGCTGCTTTACCACAGCTAGCAATCAGCTTGCCCTGGTAATTTCTTTAAAATTATCTCTACCAATGAAGACTCCAAGGCCAATAGTTTAATATATGACTATAAATCAGAATTGTCGAAGGCTTTCATGGCCGGAATCACTGGGTTGCTGTGAGTTTTCCGGTATTGCCATGTTCCAAAAGTATTCTCCCCTGACATTTCGCCCACATCTTTAGCCAGCGTCCTCAGAGCTTGTAAGGTCTGTTGGAAACTAGGCAAGATAGATAGATAGATAGATAGATAGATAGATAGATAGATAGATAGATAAGATAGATAAGATAGATAAGATAGATAAGATAGATAAGATAGACAGACAGACAGACAGACAGACAGACAGACAGATATATGGAATGTCCAAGGTGGGAGAAAGATCCCTTGTCTGTGTGAGACAGGTGTGAATGTTGCAAATGGTCACCTAGATTAGCATTTAATGGCCTTGCAGCTTCAACGCTTGGCTCATTGCTGCCTGGGAGAATCCTTTGTTGGGATATGTTAGCTAGCCCTGATTTTTCCTGTCTGGCATTTCCCTGTTGTTTTGAGTGTTGCTCTTTATTTACTGTCCTGATTTTAGGATTTTTTATAATACTGGTAGCCAGATTTTGTTCATTTTCATGGTTTCCTCCTTTCTGTTGAAATTGCCCACATGCTTGTGGATTTGAATGGCTTCTCTGTGTAGTCTAACATGGTGGTTGTGAGAGTGGTCCAGCATTTCTGTGTTCTCAAATAATATGCCGTGTCCAAGTTGGTTCATCAGGTGCTCTGCTATGGCTGACTTCTCTGGTTGAGTTAGTCTGCCTTTCATGTTCCTTTATTCGTGTTTGGGTAATGCTTCGTTTGGTGGTCCACCAAACCACCAAATGCAGAACTTTTCAAATATTTCATGTTGGTGGCACACCTTTTAGACATGCCTCATTTGGCGACACAGTAATTCAGTTTAACTGGCAAACCTGAGGTTAAACCAACCCCTTATAAGAAATATGGACATGTACATAAATAAAATGTATGGGGACACCATATCTGCTGCAAACCTTTGATTTATATATGCTTTTAAAATAATATATGATTTGTAAGATAATAATAATAAAATAATAATAATAATATACATTTCCAAAATTTTTGTTATAGTCTCCTTATGTTCACATAACACACCTACACACTGAAGCTGAACACACAGTTTGGAAAACTACCATATTTTAAATCATATATGGTCTTTTCTAAGTATTTCCTAAGAAGTTTCAAATATACATATCTGAAGAAAGGCCTATCAAGCACACAAGGGCATATCTGTAGCCATGGGAATCTATGGAATCTCTCTATGAAACCTATGGGAATCTATCCTTGGGCTAGTCTCACTTAGCCTCAGAGGAAAATAATGGCAAATTTCCCTTGAACTAATCTTGCCAAATAAACTCCAAATAAACTTTCTCAGGGCCACCATAAGTTGGAAATCATTTGAATGCACACAACAGAAATAGTTGAACTGTACTATAGGCTTCAACCTCACACGCACATACACTGGCTTTAAAACTACTAAGGTCTGAGTAGAGATGTGGAGAAGTACAGTCAAAAAGACTAAACATAGTAGAAGAGCCCCAAGTTCAAAACTGTGGTATATAAACAACACATGGCACTGATATAAAAGCCTTTAATGGATCTCACCTTCTTTTACCTCTTGGATAATTTCTTCAGGGAGAATGAAGTTTTTTTCTGAGTTGGGAAAGGGAAGAATCTCAGACTCATGCTTGGAAACAACATAAATACTAGTGTTATTGAAATAGTTATAATGACAATTGAATATTTATGAAAAAGTATGTAAAGGCAGTATCTTCACAAATAAAATTTTACCACCCAAATGCAAAATATTTCCAAGTATTTTAAAACAAAGAAAACTGACAATAAATGAGAGATACTCTTTAAATATGAAAGCTTTAAAAAATGAAGTATTTTAACTGTTTTTAAGTGATTTAAACCAATGTTTAATTGTGTTTTAATACTTATACGCTGGAGATATTAAGTTACTGTTTTTCAGTTGTTTTCAGCTGCTTTGCATGTCAATCATAGAGAGAAAAGCAAAATACAAACAACAAACAACACTGGAATGGCCTGTTTCTTGTGGGGAAACACTCACCAGCGCTTGCATGTCATACATGGTACTCAAGTGGTCCCAGATGACTTTGGAAGAAATCTGCCTCCCAATATTTTGACTGAACTTATCTCGGATACAGATCATGTGAAAATGGCGATTCACACCTAATGGGTAAAGAGGGACAAAGAAAGGCAACTTTTGCTAAAGTTCATTTTACCATCATATAGGAGGTAATACAAACAAATATCCGAATTGAATAAATAAAACACGTGTCTGATTATGACCAATGATACTGAGGTTTTGCAAGTGAACATTTTATAACAAAGAATCATAGCATTTGAAGAAACCCCAAAGGCCATCCAGTCTAATCCCATCGTGCCAGGCAGGGATATACAATCAAAGCCCCCCTGACAGATGGCCACCCAGCCTCTGTGTTAAAATCTCCAGAGAAGGAGACTCCACCAGCAGCATATTTCACTGCTGAACAGCTCTTACCATCAGAAAGTTCTTAATGTTTAGCTGAGCTCTCTCTTCCCGCAGTTTGAATCCATTGCTCTATGGCAGAGGGACAAACTAGGAAATCCATCTCCCTATGAAATTGATGGGGTTGTCAGTGTAGACCAGGCATGGACCAACTTTGGCTCTCCCTCCAGGTGTTTTGAACTTCCAACTCCTACCAGCTGTTAGGAATTGTGGGAGTTGAAGTCCTGCTCTATGTCCTAGTCTTCAGAACAGCACAAAACAAGCTTGCCTCCTCCTCAATGAGACATCCTTTCAAATATTTAACAGGGATATCATGTTCCTTTCTACCAGCCTTCTTCTCTCCAAGCTAAACACTCTCAGCACCTTAAGCCACCTGACATCCGCCGGGAAGTAGCAGCCAATAGTGAAAGGACCAAGGCAGAGACATCTCCAGCTCATCCCCTGTTTGGGTATCAGCCAGCACCTCAAAGACTTAAATCAAGACATAGTTTTCTTAGATCTACAGAGACACTCGCTGGAACACCCCAGCAAGCGAGAGTCCAAAAGTGGCAGGCCCAAACCCAGCACCTCAATTCATGGGTGATACCAGATGAGAGACTCCCCCCTGGGCACTCAGAAGACTGGGCGACTTGGAAGGCGCTGAACAGACTGCGCTCTGGCACCACGAGATGCAGAGCCAATCTTAAGAAATGGGGCTACAGGGTGGAATCCACGGCATGCGAGTGCGGAGAAGAACAAACCACTGTCCACCTGCTGCAATGCACCCTGAGCCCTGCCACATGCACAATGGAGGACCTTCTTGCGGCAACACCAGAAGCACTCAAAGTGGCCAGATACTGGTCAAAGGACATTTAACCAACTACCAAATTTGCAAAATCTGTGTGTTTTCTTCTTCTTCTTTTTAATCTCTGTGTTTGTTTTGCTCTGTTAGAATTGTAATACAATGGTTGCTGATGACACGATAAATATAAATACCCTAAGCCTTTCCTCACAGGGCTTGGATTCCAGACTTCTTTGTCATCAAGGCTGCTCTTCTCTGGACACATTCCAGCTTGTTCATATTCTTCTTGAGTGCTTTGCCCAGAACTGGACAGTCTTATTCCAGTCTTATTATCTGCTTTGAACTGGATGATGTAAATCGACACTGCCATATAATCAAAGCAGATAATCTGGATTTTAAATGGCAGTGTAGAAGGGGCCTTAAGCCCCTTCCAGACAGTTGAATAAAATCCCACATTATCTGCTTTGAACTGGAACATATGGCAGTGTGGACTCAGTTAACCCAGTCCAAAGCAGGTATTTTTGGATTTTCTGCCTTGACATTCTGTGATATAGGGATGATTCCATAGCACTTTGTCCTCCAAAGCACTTTACATTTAACCACTTTACTTCAACCAGAGAAGTCAGCCATAGCAGAGCACCTGATGAACCAGCCTGGACACAGCATATTATTTGAGAACACAGAAATGCTGGACCACTCTCACAACCACCATGTCAGACTACACAGAGAAGCCATTGAAATCCACAAGCATGTGGACAATTTCAGCAGAAAGGAAGAGACCATGAAAATGAACAAAATCTGGCTACCAGAATTAAAAAACTCTAATATTACAACAGCAAAACAGCACAGAGGAAACAACCAGGCACATCTTAACACCTCTCGACAGAAGATTTTCCCAGGCTCAGCCAGGCCTTCAAATGCTAATGAAGTTGGTCAGTTGAAACATTCACACCTAGCTCCAGCAGGGGAGAGCTCTTTGCCCCACCCCAGCCATTCCACAGATATATTGTCCTAATTGTCCTAATTCCAACAGACCTCACTAACTCTGAGGATGCTTGCCATAGATGCAGGCGAAACGTCAGGAGAAATGCCTCTAGAACATGGCCCTAGAGCCCGAAAAAACCCACAAGAACCTAGTGATTCCAGCCATGAAAGCCTTCGACAATACACTTTACATTTCTTTAAGTCTGCTCATATGCCCTTCCACAAACACCAGTATCACCTTGCGTTCATGTCCCAGCATTATTTCCAATTTTAGCTCTACATTTGGCCTTCCCACTGTTTTTAATTATGTGTTGTTTTATTGATAATGTTGTGTAATTTATTGTCTTTGGTTTTTTTTAATTAATTGCTTAAGTGGCTGAGGGGGGGAAGGAAAGGGCCTGAGGCTGTTAGGAATGGTGAGAGTTGAAGTCCAAAACACCTGGAGGACCCAAGTTTGCCCAGGCCTGTTATAATAATAATAGTTATTATTATTATTATTATTATTATTAAACTTTATTTGTACCCCGCTAGCATCTCCCGAAGGATTCGATGCGGCTTACACAGGCTGAGGCCTCAACACACAACACAACAATACAATCTAAGCAAATCAAACAATTAAAAACAGAATAAAGCAAAATAAACAACAGGCACAATACACTAAACACAATAAAACTGGGCCGGGCCAGAGTAATGGGTACAAGATTAAAAGTGCTGATGTGACAGGAGGTGTATATAGGGCTTCCAGGGCAAGTGCGATGTGCGATGTGCAGCAATCATTGGTTCTGATAAAGTGCTTATGGGACTTGGTGGTGGAGATTTCCTAATCTGGGAAGGCGCATCGGAAAAGCCAGGTCTTCAAGTTCTTTCTGAAGACAGCCAATGTAGGGGCCTGTCTAAGGTCTTTGGGGAGGGTGTTCCAGAGTCGGGGGGCCACCACGGAAAAGGCCCTGTCTCGTGTCCCCACCAAGCGCACTTGCGACGCAGGCGGGATCACGAGCAGGGCCTCTCCGGATGACCGAAGTGAACGCGTGGGTTCGTAGATGGAGATGTGGTCACGCAGGTAGGCTGGTCCCAAACCGTTCAGGGCTTTGTAGGTAAGCACCTGCACCTTGAATTGGGCTCAGAAAATAAATGGCAACCAGTGGAGCTCCTTAAACAGGAAGGTTGACCTCTCTCTGTAAGAAGCCCCAGTTAACATCCTGGCTGCTGCTCATTGGACCAGTTGGAACTTCCGAGCCGTCTTCAAGGGCAGCCCCACGTAGAGCGCATTGCAGTAGTCCAATCTGGAGGTGACCAAGGCATGGACCACTCCGGCCAGATCGGCCTTCGCGAGGTACGGTCGCAGTTGGCGCACGAGTCTCAGTTGTGCGAAAGCCCTCCCAGACACCGCCGATGCCTGAGCCTCAAGCGTGAGCGTTGAATCCAAGAGGACTCCCAGACTGCGGACCTGTGGCTTCAGGGGGAGTGTAAGTTATGTGTAAACATTACAACAGGCCCATGATTGAATGCATTTTGTCATGGCTGAATGCTATGGAATCATGGGAGTTGTAGTTCCACCAGGCCTTCACCCCTCTCTGCCAAAGAACAAATCCCAAGACAGGGTCAAACCGTATTCATTCATTCGAATGGGCCTTCCAGGGGTTTGGGACTTCAGTTCCCAGAATGCCTGCTGATTGGCCAAAGCGGCAGAGGCTTCTGGGAGTTGAAGTCCAAAGAGAAAGAGGCAGGCTCACACGGAGTTCCCTCCCACCCTCTCCCCAGCCGGCCCCGCCTCCTCCTCCTCGGGCAGTGGAGCTACTCGAGCCCGAGGCTTCATCTGCGGCCTGGTCCTTTCTCGCTCTGTTTCTCACCGACGGGCTTGTGTCCCAGCATGGCGTGGAAGAGGCAGACCTCCACCTCGGGGCTCCAGACCACGGGCGGCGCGGGGAGAGGCGGCAGAGGCGGGGGAAGCGCAGTCGCCATGGAAGAGGACGAGGAGGAGGTCGTCAAGGCCGTGGTGGACGCCGCGGCTTCCTCCTCCGTCGCAGTCCCCACGGCGGGGCAAGGCGGCTTCCCCTCCGCCGCAGTCCCGGCCGAGTTCTCGGCTTCGCCCATGGCCTGCTCCGCTAACGCAGGCCGAGGATGCGCGCTCGCGTCTAGGCCGCACAGCAGCGCCCTTAGGAAACAGCGCCCCCTCGAGGCCGAGCCGTGTATTACACTTCAGAAGCAACGCAGATTCCCATCACTGAGTCATCATACTAATCATAGAATCAAAGAGTTGGAAGGGACCTCATGGGCCATCCAGTCCAACCCCCTGCCAAGAAGCAGGAATATTGCATTCAAATCACCCCTGACAGATGGCCATCCAGACTCTGTTTAAAAGCTTCCAAAGAAGGAGCCTCCACCACACTCCGGGGCAGAGAGTTCCACTGCTGAACGGCTCTCACAGTCAGGAAGTTCTTCCTCATGTTCAGATGGAATCTCCTCTCTTGTAGTTCGATAATTTAATGTATTTAATAACAACAACAACAACTTTAGGTTCTTGTGGGTTTTTTCGGGCTATAGGTCCATGTTCTAGAGGCATTTTCTCCTGACGTTTCGCCTGCATCTATGGCAAGCATCCTCAGAGGTAGTGAGGTCTGTTGGAATTAGGACAATTAGGACAATATATCTGTGGAATGGCTGGGGTGGGGCAAAGAGCTCTCCCCTGCTGGAGCTAGGTGTGAATGTTTCAACTGACCACCTTCATTAGAATTTGAAGGCCTGGCTGAGCCTGGGAAAATGTTTTGTTGAGAGGTGTTAAGATGTGCCTGGTTGTTTCCTCTCTGCTGTTTTGCTGTTGTAATTTTAGAGTTTTTTTTTTAATACTGGTAGCCAGATTTTGTTCATTTTCATGGTCTCTTCCTTTCTGTTGAAATTCTCCACATGCTTGTGGATTTCAATGGCTTCTCTGTGTAGTCTGACATGGTGGTTGTTGGTGTGGTCCAGCATTTCTGTGTTCTCAAATAATATGCTGTGTCCAGGCTAGTTCATCAGGTGCTCTGCTATGGCTGACATGGAAGAGGACGAGGAGGAGGTCGTCAAGGCCGAGGCGGCGCTGGTGGTGGTGGACGCCGTGGCTTCCTCCTCCGTCGCAGTCCCGGCCGAGCTCTCGGCTTCGCCCATGGCCTGCTCCGCTAATGCAGGCCGAGGATGCTCGCTCGCGTGTAGGCCGCAGAGCAAGGCCCTTAGGGAACAGCGCCCCCTCGAGGCCGAGCCGTGCATTACACTTCAGAAGCAACGCAGATTCCCATCATTGAGTCATCATCATCATCATAGAATCATAGAATCAAAGAGTTGGAAGAGACCTCATGGGCCATCCAGTCCAACCCCCTGCCAAGAAACAGGAAAATCACATTCAAATCACCCCTGACAGATGGCCATCCAGCCTCTATTTAAAAGCTTCCAAAGAGGGAGCCTCCACCACACTCCGGGGCAGAGAGTTCCATAGCTGAACGGCTCTCACAGTCAGGAAGTTCTTCCTCATATTCAGATGGAATCTCCTTTCTTATAGTTTCCACTGCGTCCTGGTCTCCAAGGAAGCAGAAAACAAGCTTGCTCCCTCCTCCCTGTGGATTCCTCTCACATATTTATTAGGCTTGGGCGGTTTTGTTCGTTAATTTCATAATTCGTTATTAATTCGTATTTAAATTAGTTTACGATCCGATATTGAGCCATGCAGGAGTAATTAAAAATCGAAACAATTTTTTCAATTTATTTCGAAATTGTTTCGATATTGTTTCGAAATTGTTTCCGTATGTCTGGTGCAAGTTTTAGGGTTGTTGTTTGTTTTATCAGTGATAAAAAATAAATTATCACACCAACAGTCAACAACAGAGGGAGAGGGAAGCTTCAGAAGTTCCCCCTGTCCCATTTGGAGGTTTTTTTAGCATATTGCGCAATTGTGTCCGCCATTAACGAATCGATTCGTAATTGTTTTGTAATTTTACTAAATTTCGTATATTTCAAACTTTTTTAAAGAAAAATTTCAGAATTCTTTTAAAAAACGAAATGCAAAAAACCCCTAAAAACGAAATGAGTTTAGAACCAAATTTTTCCGTAGTTACCCAAGCCTAATGGCTATCATATCTCCTCTCAGCCTTCACTTCTTCAGAATAAACATGCCCAGCTCCCCAAGCCGCTCCTCATAGGGCTTGTTCTCCAGACCCTTGATCATTTTAGTCGCCCTCCTCTGGACACATTCCAGCTTGTCAATATCTCTCTTGAGTTTGGGTGCCCAGAATTGGACACAATATTCCAGGTGTGGTCTAACCAAAGCGGAATAGAGCATGGGTAGCATGACTTCCCTAGATCTAGACACTATGCTCCTATTGATGCAGGCCAAAATCCCATTGGCTTTTTTTGCCGCCACATCACAGTGTTGGCTCATGTTTAACTTGTTGTCCACGAGGACTCCAAGATCTTTTTCACACGTACTGCTCTCGAGCCAGGCGTCACCCATTCTGTATCTTTGCATTTCATTTTTTCTGCCAAAGTGGAGTATCTTGCATTTGTCACTGTTGAACTTCATTTTGTTAGTTTCGGCCCATCTCTCTAATCTGTCAAGATCATTTTGAATCCTGCTCCTAATAATAATAATAATAACAATAATAATAATAACAACAACAACAACTTTATTTATGCCCCTCCACCATCTCCCCAAGGGACTCGGAGTGGCTTATATGAGGCCAAGCCCAATAACACATCAATAAAACAAAGCAATAAACAAAAACAACAAATACAATACAATTAATACAAATCACATATAAACAATAACCAATAACACACAAGGATTTAAAAACCTATGGCCGGGCCAAATGTAGTAATTTAAAAAAAAAATGCTGGGCATGAACAAGGTAGGATATATCTGGCATAGGGTTTTAAAAAATACGGAAGCCATAGAATAATAGAGTTGGAAGAGACCTCGTGGGCCATCCAGTCCAACTCAAAGCACAAATAAAGTGTCCCTGGCAGATGGCCATCCAGCCTCTGTTTCAAAGCTTCCACTACACTCTAAGGCAGACAGTTCCACTGTTGAACATCTCTTACAGTGAGGAAGTTCTTCCTAAAGTTCTTTTCCTGCTATTTGAACCCATTGCTCCAAATCCTTGGGTCCTTCCACACAGCCATAGCACCCAGAATATTACAGCAGAATAACCTACAATATTTGCTTTGAACTGGGTTATCTGAGTCCACACTACCATACTTACTTAGGCAATCTCTCGTTGTCCGAGTAGGATAATCCTCCAGGAAGGGTCCGTAGGTGACTGTGGAGCCCTATTCTTGATCTGCATCATCTCCCGCTATCATACGAAAGCTGACTGGCACAACCTGGGGATCACAACCAGATACAGTGAAGACATCTGCCCTTGCGCTATGCTACTCTGCTGCTGAGTATGCATGCCCAGTGTGAAACACATCTCACCACACTAAAACAGTGGATGTGGCTCTTAATGAGACATGCCGCATTATCACAGGGTGTCTGTGCCCTACATCACTGGAGAAATTACACTGCTTAGCCGGTATTGCACCACCTGACATCCGCCAGGAAGTTGCAGCCAATAGTGAAAGGACCAACTCATTCCCTGTTTGGGTATCAGCCAGCACGTCAACGACTTAAATCAAGACATAGTTTTCTTAGATCTACAGAGACACTCGCTGGAACACCTCAGCAAGCGAGAGTCCAAAAGTGGCAGGCCCAAACCCAGCACCTCAATCCATGGGTGATACCAGATGAGAGACTCCCCCCTGGGCACACAGAAGACTGGGCGACTTGGAAGGCGCTGAACAGACTGCACTCTGGCACCACAAGATGCAGAGCCAACCTTAAGAAATGGGGCTACAAAGTGGAATCCACTACATGCGAGTGTAGAGAAGAGCAAACCACAAACCTGCCATGCAACCTGAGCCCTGCCACATGCACGATGGAGGACCTTCTTGCGGCAACACCAGAGGCACTCCAAGTGGCCAGATACTGGTCAAAGGACATTTAATCAGCTACCAAGTTTGCAAATTTTGTGTTGTTTTTTTTATCTGTTTGTTTTGTTCTGTTAGAAATGTAATACAATGTTCTGGTTGCGGATGACACGATAAATAAATCTCTATCTCAGTGAGGGCATTGGTTTCCAGGTGGAAGGCGGTCCCGGTCTGGGTTGGCTTGACACACCTTCCTCTTGGCACGTTTCTCTCTTTTGCCCTCCATTTGTGCCTCTTCAAATTCTGCAGCACTGCTGGTCACAGTTGACCTCCAGCTGTGAAATAGCTATAAACCACACACAATAAATTTGTTTACAGATTTAGACACAAACTAAGCTGTAGTTTGGAGCATCGAACTATAAGGCAGGCATGGACAAAATTTCTAACTTGGGGACCACATGCTAGCACTCCCTGCTGGAAGGACCGGCTGCCCGGTGATGGAAGAAAGAAAGGGAAAGAGGAAGGAAAGAGAGAAGGAAGAAAAGAAGAAAGGGCGGAAGGGAAGGATGGAAGGAGAAAGAGAGAGAGAGGAGAGTAGAGGGAAGGAAGGAAAGAAAAGGGGAGGAAGAAGAAAAGGGAGGAAGGAAGGGAAGGGAAAGAGGAGGGAAGGGAAAAAGAGAAGGGAGGAAGGAGGAAGGAAGGGAAGGAAGGAAAGAGAGGGAAGGACGAAAGGAGATAAAGGGAGGGAGGGAAGGAGAAGGATGGAAGAAAGAGAGGGAGAAAGGAGGAAGAAAGAAAGGAAAGGAAAGAGGAAGGAAAGAGAAAGGAAGGAAAAAAGGGAGGGAGGAAGGAAGGGAGAAAGAGGGAGAGAAGGTAGGAAGGAAGGACAAAAGGAAGGGAGGGAAGGAGAGATTGAGAAAGAAAGAAGGAAGGAGGAAAAAAAGAGGTAGAAAGGATGAAAGGGTGGAAGGGAAGGGGAAAGAGGGAGGGAAGGAGGAAGGAAAGAGAGAAGAAATGAAGGATAGGATGGTGAGAAACAGGAGGGCCTGAGAAAAGAGCCCAAAGGGCCTGGGTTTACCCATACATTCTATAAGGGCTTCTAAACACACTCCCAATTTAAACTTTGCATAATTGGTAGAAGAAGATACCCGTTTTGATGATTCAGTTGAGTCTCGTAAAAGTGGCATAGCTTAGGGTCAGATTAAGAGATGTCAAATAAAGTCCTTTGTT